GTCGTGTTGGGGGTTCTGCTCGACGCGGTTCGTGATGTCCACTTGCACAAGATGGCAGTCGCAGAAAAACAGGTATGTTGTGTCAGTTAGTTTTTGGCTTCGACTGTGGCAGTCTTGTCGCACTATAGGCACACACACACACACACACAAACACACACACACACACACACACACACACACACACACACACACACACACACACACACACACACACACACACACACACACACGCACACACACACACAGCGCTGCACTATGCGATGTCGCGCGGGTACCAGAATGTGATTGATGCGCTGGTGCACCACGGGGCGGACGTGGAGGCCAAGGACCCACGCGGCGTCACCCCTCGCATGCTCGCCCGCAAGTACAAGGTGTGTGTGTGTGTGTATGTGTGTGTGTGTGTGTACAACTGTGTGTGTGTGATTGTATGTGATTGTGTGTGTGTGTGTGTACACGCACATGTGTGCCTCTGTGTTACATGTGATCACCTCTCTCTTGTTCATGTGTGTCTTGTCACCTGACACATGCGCCGCGCGTGCATGTTCTCTGCTGTGCCATTCACACGTGCGTGTGTGTGTGTGTATGTGTGCATATGTGTGCATGTGTGTGCAGCGAACAATCCCGGACAGCAGCGAGGGCCGGAGCAGCAGCCATTTTTTCCTCAACCAACACGTCGCCGCCCTCCTCAACGACACGTGGACACACGCGCAGGTGCTGCTGCTGCTGCTGCTGCTGCTGCTGCTGGTGGTGGTGGTGGTGGTGGTGGTGGTGGTGGCGGTGTTGATGGTGGCGGTGACGATGGTGATGCGTGTCGTGAGTGTGGTCCTCGCAGTCTTTTTATCGCCATCCACCTGTGCCACACACGCGCTCCTGTCATTTTCAAATGGCACGCCACCTCCCACTCCCCCCTCTCTCTTGTGTGTGTATGTGTGTGCGTGCAACAAACACCCCCTCCCTCCCTCCCTCTGCTGCCTCGTGTTCCTGTGCAACAACCATGCGTGTTTTGCAGATTGTGCGGATCGACGACGATGAGGAAACGGGCAGTGCCAGCTACACCGTCAAGCACGTCAAGACAGGCGACGAACATGTTGTGTCCGAGGACTGCATTCGACTGGTCTGTGTGTTAGGGTGGTGTGTTGTACTGTGAAGCTGTGGTGATCAGTTGTGCATTTCGTGTGTACATGATTGTGTTCATTGCGTGTGTATCTGTGTGTGTGTGTGTGTGTTATGTGTGTGTGTGTGTGTGTGTGTTATGTGTGTGTGTGTGTGCTGTGTATCTCTCCGTCTCTCCTTCTGTCTCCCTCCTTCTGTCACTCTGTCACTCTCCCTCCCTGCTCTGTCTGTCTGTCTGTCTGTCCCTCTCTCTCTCTGCGTGTGCGTGAGCCACTGCCTGTTCACCATCTCCCAACATCACCACACACACACACACACACACACACACACACACACACACACACACACCTGTTGATGCATGCAGCTGTCACCGTCGACTGTGGCCACGACCGCCGATGTTGTCGCCGTCTCTCAAGGTGAAACATTTGCAGCGGGCATTCCCGGCACCTGTCGTCCATTCCATCTGCTTTGTACATATGTGCAAAATTCTGTCTCAATCTGCTGCCACCCTCGTGCACTTTCCGCACCGCCACCGTCTCCACCGTCAGCCGCCATCAACCGCTCATCATCGCGAACCACCACCACTGCCATGCACCATCAACTGCCAACTACCGCTACTACCACCACCAACTACCATCCCCAACCATCATCAACAATAACAACAACACCAAACCCCTTTGAAAGATGGCGGCGGGCTTGAGGAGCTGTCGTCGGTGTCGACAGACGATCTTCCGAACCGGCCTCTCGTCTACTCCGTCGACGGCGCGGTAGGCACACACACACACACACACACACACACACACACACACACACACACACACACACACACACACACACACACACACACACACACACACACACACACACACACACACACACACACACACACACACACACACACGTACGTGTGCAGGGAGAGTGAGGCGAGCATGGCTGCGCTGCAGGTTCTGTTCCGCATGCTGCTGCCAACGCGTCTCCTGTATCAGCAGGAGGAGGAGCAGTTCGAGGAGCTGGCACATGCCAACGCGAGCAACCCAGACCTCGACGTGTGCGACGTCTACGGTGGTGTCCACCTCCTTCGTCTCCTTGGTCCGTTGATGCGGTGCATGCCTCTCTTTGCTTCGTCTAGTTAGAGAGGCAGTTGCACATCCATCTCCTTTGCATGCACGTCTCCTTTTGCATGCGCGTGCCACAACCAGCCTATGCTCTGCGATGTCATGCTGTGAATATGTGTGTTTCTGCGTTGGGACTCACGCCCTCATCCCCCCCCCCCCCAACTCCACACAATTCCAACCCGTGCCACAGTGACCATGCCTGAGATTATTTACACCAGCAGCTCCACCATGCACGCCGTACAGCCAGAGGTATGCCAAGCGTGCGCTGTGTGTGTGGGTGAAAGAGAGGGGAGGAAGAGGAGAGAGGACTGCCGGGTGGTTGTGTGTGGTGATGGTGTTGATGGGTTGGGCGGGGGATATGTCTGTGCCAACCCGAGCGACTGTTTCTGCAACGCCTCACGTCAACACACACACACACATGCACACACGCCCGCCGCTTGCTCTTCTTCTCTTGTGCCCTCGACTGCAGGTCTCATGCATTGCGTCGTTGGTTGCGTTTATGGATGCGCACATGGCAGCCGTGTTTCCTTTGTCCGAGTAATGTACATACACAATAACAACGACAACAGTGTGGTGTGACATGTGATGTGACTGTTTGCGCGTGTGTCAGGTGCGAGTTTGGGTCGAGTGTTTTTATGGGAAATGATGTGAAACACGACTTCCGTTGACGTCGCTGCACTGCGTGTTGCAGTGCACACGCCCAACACAAACACACCAGCCCGCTCAACTCAAAACAACAACCATCTGCACTTCACCAGCCAACGTCATCAGATCCCAAAATTTGGCCTCAAATTTCAAAAACGGATGAATTTGTTGCGTGCCCGGACAACACATCGCAACACCCAAACGCACACAACCGACCTGACGAATGATGAAAACTTCCACCCAACCATACACACCCACACCCAACCACACGAGAACACCCAAGGGCAGACATGGAGGAGGAAGAGGACCACGCGCTGCAAAGAGACCCGGCCAGCCCATGCCAGCGATTTCGAGCGCTCGAAGCCTGACGGACCCTTGCTGTCACTGACTGACAAAGCCAACCAACCAACCACTGCCTGACATGACTGCATGCTGTGTGGTTGGTTGTGAGTAATGGACACAACCCATGCCCAAAACACATTGTGACAACGCGGTCAGGCGCGAGCACACAGCGAGGTTCCCTTCTGTGAATGCACTTGGCTTTTGTGCCAATCGCCTCAGCGCACGCAGCGCACAACGAACAGGAACAAGAAGAAGCAGCTTCCAGGCAGGGGATATCGGTTGCTTCACAACCAACCAACCAACCTTCATTTCCCCCATTTCCATCGACACTCCAAACCGAGACAAGCAGCTGGCGTCCTTGTGCAAGTAGGCGCTTACAGCTCGACGTATACCCACCCATCTTTTGCGTCACGCCACAGGCACCACCACCCTCTCCCAATACAACCAGGAGCAAGAAGCAAAAGACAGGGACTACTACAAGCACGACGTTCACTGCACCAGCGGGAACCAAGTCTGACTGCAACCAGTCAGGACAAGGCACATCACATCACATCGAATCAGGCATGCGTGCTTCTGGTCCGGCGATGAGAGGCGGTCTCAACCGCTTCCGCCGCACTTCCCCGACTCTCGGCTTCCTCTTCTCCACGGCAGCTCTTCTGGTGGCTTTGACACCAGGGGCACAGGCGGCCTTGAACAACTATGATGATCCGCTGAGCTATTCCTGCCCTTCCGGCCAAGGTCTCGTGTCCGTCTCGTCCTGGCACTCCAACAACGACGGTGAGTTGAATTTTGGTGAAGTGAGGGGGAGAGTGGCGACAAGGAGCATGCCTATGTGCGTGTTTGTGCGTGTATGTGCGTGTGTATGTGTACCAGCTTGCACCTTGCGCGTTTGTGTGTATGTGTGTGTGTGCGTGTACCAGCTTGCACCTTGCGCGTTTGTTTGTTTGTTTGATTGTTTGTGTGTTTGTTTGTTGATTGTGTCTGCTTCGTCGCCACTTCCTCACACGCCGACGACATTGTTTGCTTTCCCCCGTCTTCATTCCTTGCTCGAGCGCAGAGGATCGCGTGTGGTCGCTGGGTTGCACCTCGGTTGGTGCGTGGAGTTCATCAGACTCTTGGACTGGATATCTCAACAACTTTGACCATGCCCTCAGCTACAGCTGCCCTTCCAACAAATGTAAGCCCTACAACAACAAGATGAGACGCCCCAAAGACAACCATCTTTCCAGAACGGGTGCTGAGCGAGTTTGTGCTTTGCTTGTGTGCTACTTTGTGTTCGCGGGCATGTGTTACCCACTACTCGACGAGGGCACACCTTTGCTACTATTGCTGGTTTTCGTGACACCGCTTCTCACAACTCACTACTTCCACGTCCCCACGCTTGCTCAGATGTGAGCGGGCTTGCAAGCTACCACAGCAACAACGTAAGCGCCTGGCATCTTGTATTTGCTTACTCCTTTGTTGCTTTGTTCGCTTGCTGTTCTGTTCTGCCATCAACACACGCGGTTTCATTCCCTCTCCCACCCTGCCAATCTCTCACTCACACACACACACACACGCACACGCTCACACACACGCTCACACACACGCACACACTCACACACACGCACACTCTTACTCTCTCCCACTCATACACATACAGGACGAGGATCGTCGGTGGAAGGTTCGGTGCTCCAGCATTGGCGGCGGCTCGCTGTCGAACTGCAACTTTGGACCGCAGGAGAACACATACGACAACCCGCTTGATTACAACTCCCCAGCAAGCACAGTCATCACGGGTGTCTCCTCCACACACAGCAATCATGACGGTGAGTAATCGTAGCCTTGGTTATCATTTGCTCTCCGTGTTGTGTGACATGAAGGGAATCAGCCGGCTGTACTGTAGTACTGTGGCTTTTGTCTCGCCAACACGCACAAGCACACCCGACCTCTTCCTCTCTCTCTCTCTCTCTCTGACATTCACACCACATTTCCCCATCCGCACTTCGCTCACAGAGGACCGCGTGTGGAGTTTCCGAACGTGCCGGGTAAGAACAGGCTCACAGCGTGCATGGCTGTGTGGTGTCTTGTGCGTCCAAATTCAATCTGACATCGAATGATTCGCATTGAAAAATGTGTTTCTCGCGCTTGATCGTATCTCTCCGTCACGTGCCACGAGAACAAGAGCTGACACCCACGATTTGCATTTACCACAGATCAACTGTGACCGCAACAACGGATACAGGCTGAACGGCCGCGCGTGCGACTGTGAGTCCAGTCAACCTTGATGAGATGGCGATTGCCTGTGCGTGTGTGAGAGAGTGTGTAGGTGGCGGTGCTTATGATCTTATTACAGTACACACCCACGCGTCACATTGTCTGCGTTTATCACCAACATCTACTCATACGCACGCGCACATGAACACACTTGCCCCGCCCCCAACAGTGCAATCCTGCAGCCCGTTGTCGCTTGCAAATGGCGTCACAGAGGGAAGCTGCTCTGGCAACTTCGGTAAGACAGAACACCATACACTGCACTGGATGCTACTAGTCTGCCGTCGCACCAACTTCCTGTCACTCAATTGCTTGTGGTTGAGGAGGTGGACGTCGTGTGCAACTTAACACAAGCACGTCATCAAATCAACACACTGACACGCCCCCCGTGCACACACCATCCGCTCATGTGTCCAGGTGATGAATGCAAGTACAAGGAGTGCAACGCGGGCTACGAAATGACAGTATTTGGATCAACGATGCGCAAGTGTGATTGGATTGGCAGCGACGTTGGCTGGACCAACACCGCCAAGGAGTGCATAGGTGCGAACACCATCATGTCATGCACACACACACACACACATACCTGAGCACTACAACGCTACCTGCACATCCCTATCGCGTAAACTCACCATCAATGACCTGCCATTACCACATCTCGTGCACGCATGCAGACATTGACGAGTGCCTGACTGGCGAGGAGGACTGCTATCCAGGCTCCGTGTGTGTCAACACGGAGGGATCGTACTACTGCGTGTGCGAGTTTGGAGAGCAGCAGGAGAGCAGCTGCTTTGGTACGTTGAATACAGCGCCTGTGTGCAATCATTTGTTGGTACATACTGTTGGAGGGCTTACCTTGCCTGATTGAGAAAGAATTACCGCGGTACTTGACAAATTGCCGTCTCTCCCCCTCCCTTCCTCATCAACTGCTGAACGGCAGTTGAGGTTCCGACCATCACGCTTGATCTCGGCCTCACTGAGATGACCATCAACATCGACGGCGAGTGGGGCAACACCTTCCCCAAGTACAGGGTAAGTTGGTGGCATGAGGGTGGCAAATGCGTGGTTGCTTGATCACTTGGGTTGAGTCGAAGCAAGTTATGGGGGTGGTCGCCGTTCTCCTGTTTCCATGCGGTTCCTCACATAAACACACACGCATTCGCACACACACACACACACACACACACACACACACACACACACACACACACACACACACACAACACAACACACACGCACACACGCACACACACACCCCCTCGCAATACGTGGCTTAATAGGTGTCCGTTGCACGCTGGTCGTATGATCTGGCGGCCAAAGAGGACATCCCCGGATTCCCAAAGACGATCCGCAAGCCGTTCACTAGCCACCGTGTCATCAACCTGGAGGCTGGTACCCGCTTCAGGGTGAGTTTGTATTGTATGTGTGTGTACGTGTGTGCGTGTGTGCGTGTATGTGTTCATGGGCGTGTGCGTGTATGCGTGTGTGTACATGCGCGCGTTCACCTGTACTGCGCTCTCAAAACCTGCTACCATCACCCTTCATTCTCCCTCCCTTCCTCCCCCCTCTCTCACTCTCACTCACATAACACACACACACACACACACACACACTCTCTCTCTCTCCCTCTCTCACACTCACATAACACACACACACACACACACACACACACACACACACACACACACACACACACACACACACACGATGTCACCTGTTTGCTTCACCAAACAAACCAACAGGTGACCCTGACACCTGTTGGCAACAATGATGAAGAGATTCCGTACTTTTTACAGCTTGCCCTGACACCCGAAGGCAACGATCCCCAGACCATCTGCGGCTGCATTCCAGCTGATCCAACTGGTGCGCCCACCGACTTCCAGATTAGGCAGTTCAAAGGACACGTGCTCTTCCGCTGGGCGGACCAGAGCCAGTGCGAGTCTGCCTTCTCCTTCACGCGCAACGGCGTTGGCCTGACGTCGCGGTTCCCCGTCACGGAGCAGCTGGCATGCGGCGCCATCCAGGAGCCAAACACCGTCTACGACGACCTCACCATCCAGTCGGCTGGCGACTACGCTGAAGTGGACGAGGCCCTCAACTACTTGCTGCCAGAAGGTGTGTTGCGATGCACGTAGCAAATGCATAATGTGATGTTACGTTGACATGGGTCACTCCTGCATTCGTCAAGTTGTCGTATGCATCCTTCGCTTCCCATCGTCAGTGCTCATGCTCATCATACCAACACACACACACACACATACACAACACACACACACACACACACACACACACACACACACACACACACACACAACACACACACACACACACACACACCGCGTAGGCGACTTTTACCTGCGCCATTTCCTGGCCGTGGACACGGGCGACACGCGCTTCATGTACCCGCACGAACTGCAGCGCCAGAGTAAGTTCGACGAGACGTGTGGCAGCTGTGGGAATCGGTGCTGTGGGCTGGCAGGCGCAGGCGTGATCTTCTTGTGATGTCCAATTCCGCCACTGCTCGTGTTCAATTCAAGTGGTTGTACTTCACTCACCCGCTCACACACTCACACTCACACTCACACTTACACATACTCACACTCATGTCACACTCACACTCACACTCACACTCACACACTCACACGATGAAGAAACGCACTTCTCGTCGACGAGCACGACCACGACGGCTGCGCCGCAGGGTGTGCCTGATGATGAGAACCGCTACTATCCCGGCACTTCCTCACCCGTCGCGTCGGTGTCGGAGTGCAAGGACCTGTGCGACATTCGTTCAGACTGGTGCATCGCTTTTGCTGTGCAGACCAAAGGCGACGACACGCTCATGTGCCACCAGCTGCGCGTGATCCAAAACGCGACGCTGCGTGCAGGCGAGAAGAAGGCCGTCTCCTTTGAACGCGTGACTGTCACCGGCACCGGCGTCGACGGGTCGTACATCTTCGACGGCACGCAGGACGACTGCGAGGAAGCGTGCTCGGCACACGGCTCGTGTGATATGACCATGGTGGCTGCTGGCGTGTGCGCCGTCGTTGTCGACGCTGTCGAGACAGAGACTCCGCTCGCCCAATCTGTGCACCCCGACATTGACCCGACATTCTCTCGCCGCATCCCTGGTCCTGAGCCCGGCACCACGCAGGAGTACTGCATCGAGGCAAACAAGCCCGAGTGGTACGACCTTCAGGGCTACTCCTCAGAGCCCACTTGCTCTAACTTCACAATCATGGTGAGTGTGCGTCCGTGCGTGTGCGTGTGCGTGTGCGTGTGCGTGTTGTGGGTTTGTTGTGTGGAAGTATGTGTACTTGTGTGCGCGTGCGGTTATGTAAACGGCCCGACACGTGCACTTGTGCAACTTTATCTGCCTTTGACTGGGTGCATGGTTGCGCTTGTCTGTCCTGATGCAACACACCCATTCACCTTCACGCGTGTCTCGCGTTCTCTTGTCCACGCCCCATCACATCCATCCATCCTGTTATCACCTGGTGCAGTGGGAGAGCCAACTTGAGGGCCAGATTGCCATCGACTCCAAGGAAATCCACCTCCCCGTGGAAGGCGTTGAGGTTGAGTTTGAAATTGGCGGACTGGTGCGTGGGCGTCGCATCACCAACGAGGACGGAAAGTTCTCCATCCACATCCTCTCGGACAAGCTGGTTGGCAGCCGCCACCGCATGACGCTCCGCTTCTCCAAGACCACGGGCAACATCAAGCACACCTTCACCTGCGGTGGCATTGCATGCACAGAGACCACGCTCATCATGGAACACCTTCGCTTTGACCACACAGTCAACGTTCGTGATTCGACCTCCCTCCCGTTCAGTGGTATCGTCTCCATTGGGGGCACGGAGCACGAGGGTCTTCCTGACGGCTGCCCGCTCAAGGACGTCGAGGTTTGCCTGTACGACCGCAACCAGGCCAACACCCTTGTCAACTGCGACCTGACGGATTCCAAGGGCCGCTACCTCGTGCGCGCTGTCCTCGGCACATCTGTCACCGTCGGCCTCACCTTTGCCAACTCGTCCCACACGTTTGAGCGCGCACCGTACAAGAGAGATGCAGCCAACGCCCCTTCGGGCATCCTGCAACGTGTCGACGCCACCAACACGCTGGTGCGCACACTTTACTATGATGTGACGGACGGCAAGTTCTGGGAGAACATCAACTTCAAGGACACGACGTCTGACAGGGCGACAGTCGACATTGCTGGTGGGCTGTGCAACCTCAACCTCGGCGACGCGGTGATGGAGTTTCGGTATGACGCGTGCCCAACGTGGGTGAGGACACACACCATTTCTGACCGGCTGTCCAAGTGGACGCTGCCAGCGCAGATCATCACGGTGCGCTTCAAGGAGATAACGCGCAACTACGAGGTGCGCGGCGAGATTACGCGCTACTTCTCGGCCAAGCTGGGCAACTCGCGGTCGCTGTACTTGGACCTGCGCAACCCGCAGGAGGACGACGAGGACAAGAAGACGGTGCGATTCGAGTACCGCCCACCACCGCAGCTGAGCGTGTCGTTTGACAAGGAGGAGAAGCACAACTGCAACAGCACAGAGGGCGATCGCCCCTTGCACGTTGTGAGGCAGAACCAGGAGCTGAAGGTGACTGTGAAGGTCATTGAGGACTACGGCGAAGGCGTGGGCACGTGCGATGCGGTGCCGGGCCAGATTGAGGTTGAGAACCAGTTGGGCGAGTCGCCAGCCATCGTGGACGTGCTGAACGCCACCACCTCCCTCACCAACAAGCAGCTGAACAAGCTCAAGCAATGCTACGACACGTGCCTCATGGACGTGAAGATGGACGAGGAGCTGCAGGATGGCGAGACAGTGTACTCGAACACGCGCATTGAGCTGAACATCATGACGGGCGAGCCAGAGACCAACCCACAGGCCGTCAACCCAGAGAACCCGTACTCCAAGCTCTTCCGCGTCACCATGCACAACCTCCCACAGGACCCCGTCACCGTGTACGAGAAGGTGGTGGTGATTGGCGACAAGGTCATCTCCAAGTACTTTAGCGTGCCCTTCCCGCGCTATCAGCCGCTTGCAGTGGTGCAGGATCCGCCCGGTGGCCTGTCCACCGTCACGTACTCCAAGGCGTACAGCAACTACTTTATGAAGAGCCACACGCACGAGGAGTATCATGGGTTCTACTTCACCACGGGGCTTGCTCCCGTCAAGGTGGAGACGGGCGTGCAGCAATGCACCGGTCTCGGTGCTGCCGTGTGCACCAAGGTGGCGGACACGGAATCCACCCCATTCAAGATCAGCGTTGACCAAACTCATGTAAGCGATTGTGTGTTGTGTGTGTGCGGCATTGTTTGCGTGTGTGTATCGCATTGTTTGCGTGATTGTGTGTGTACACTTGCGTTTGTGCAAACTTTGTGCGCGCAGCTTTGTTGAAGCGTGCCGTGACCTTGCCTTTCACGCTCTTCTTGACCTCACCTGCTCACAAACGCTCTCACACTCCTACTTTGCTGCCCCTGCTTGTCTCTTCATTACTCCACCAGACTTTTGGCAGCATGGATCCCGACGACAACTACAACTCTGAGCGCGTGTGGTCGTTTGGAATTGAGCTGACGACGTCCGATGACGTGATGACGGCTGGTGAGAAGTCCGACATGTTCCTCGTGCCCGCCCTCAACGTGGTGTGGCTGGAGACGGAGGAGGTGTCGTTTGACGTGGAGCAGTGCCAGGCGGCCAAGGAGACCAAGGTCAAGTGGAGCCTCGAGGGCCAGGAAAACAGAGAGGTGCTGAGCTGGGTGTCTGCGTTTGAGATTGAGAACAAGGAGCTCCCAGACCTTCGCAAGCTGCTCGCTCTCGCCGAACAGCCGCCAGGCGATGACGACGACGACACGGAGGAGGATAGGGCGGAAAAGATTGCTGAGCTGAAGCGCGCGATCAAGGCGTGGGAGAGCAACCTGGACCGCAACAAGGAGGTGCGGCAGAAGGCGGCCGACGGGCTGCTGGAGCCCGTGCAGAACATGTGGGCAAAGGGTAACGCCGAGTTTGACTGCTTGCCGAGCATTGCGCCCAACAAGGACCCGAAGAAGGCAGCCAAGATTGAAGGCGAATTGTCACGGACCAAGGTGTGTAACGGCTTTGACGTGGATCGCATTGCCGACAAGGCGAAGAAGGGCATTTCGCTCGCCCCACACGACGACATCGACAATGCAAAGGACTTGGACGGCCTTGCCGCATCAGACCAGGACAAGCAAGACCTGCGCAACATCGACACAATCAAGTTCTCTGGCGGCGGGTCCACGTACACGTTTGAGTACGACCTGTCACGCGGCGACAGCGTGATTGGCGGCAGTTCGCGAACGCACGAGGTGTCTGCTGGCATTGATGTTGAATTTGGGTTCAAGGTGTTCGGTGTGGGAATGAGCTTTGAGCTGTCCACGGGGTACAACTACGAAGGCACGGTTGCTGACGAGTATGAGGCTGGTGTTTCGACAGAGGGCACCCTTTCCGTGACGCTCGGTGACCCGGACCCATTTGACGTCTTTGACGTCGGCGTCTTCCTGCACCCCGACTACGGCACATTTGTCTTCGCCACCTTCTCAGGTCAATCGTCGTGCCCACACGAGCCCAACACCGTGCAGCTGGAGAAGCCGAGTGTGAGTGTTCTGAAGCGGCCAGAGGCGCCCGTGCTGCCCGGTGAACCCGCCGTGTTCGAGCTCCTGCTCAAGAACGATGGTCCAGTCACATCTGACTTTAACGTGAGTGTCGTGGTTGCGGTGGTTGCGTTTGCGATTGTGTTGATGTGTTTGGACTTGCATTGCATGCTTGCATTGTGGCGGCATTCCTTGTCCTGGTATGGTCAGCAACAGTTGAGCAGACACGTGTCCTGCACGTTCCCACATATTTACACTTTGTTCTCACAATCATCTCATCTCCCCTCCTCCACTCCTCCGAACTCCGGTCCCCGTCCCATCCCACAACATGCGCAGCTGTTTTATCTGTCGTGGCTGAACCAAGACGGCCTTGAAGTTGTGGCCAACGGACAGGCGCTGGAGACGGCACTCATCTTTGAGGGTTTCCCCGCCAACTCGGCAAGGTACATCACCATCACCGTGAACCAGGGCCCAAGCAAGTTCAAGTACGACCCTGTTGCCATTGGCTGGCGGTCGCTGTGCGAGGCCGACAGGCACCCTGACAACGGCTACATCACGGACGAGGTGACGAGCGTGGAGTACGTGTACTTGGAGGCCGAGTTCCTGCAGCCGTGCAGCCCCGTGAAGCTTGTTGGCGAGATTGGCGAGTCTGGCGCGTTCACCCTCAACCAGGAGACGATGGAGCAGGACTACAAGCCCGGCCAGATCCGCGTCGTTGCCTTCAACCCGGACCATGCCGAGCGCACGTGGCTGGAGGACGATCGCCTGGAGAAGGTCGTCATCGAGTTCAAGCCCGTCAACTCGTACGTCTGGCTGCTGGCCCGCGACGAGAACGGGGATGCACTGGACATTCGCGAGCGTGAGAACGAGTATGGCTACATAACGTCGTGGTGGGACGCGTCCACGCTGCTTGAGGGCGACTACCACCTCCGCATCCGCGCGCAGTGCCAGGCGTCCATCAACGAGGTGCCCGATGGCATTGACGAAAAGCTGTCGTTGGTGGCAGCTGGTGTCGTTGATCGCGACCCGCCGGTCGTTTTTGGATTCCCTGAGCCCGCGGATGGCGAGTTCTTCCCTGGCGACGAGATCTCGTTCCAGTTCAACGAGGACGTGGAGTGCCGGCAGCCGTTCATCTTCCAAGTGTCGCTGACGGTGGAGGACTACGACCGCGACTTCAACAACAACAACATGGTGATTGTGTGCGAGGGCCGCAAGATCTCCATGTCCCTTCGCCGCGGATTCCGCTACGACGAGGTCAACGGCCTCACCGCCACAGTCGTCATCGAGAACGTCAAGGACCTCAACGGCAACCAAATGGAGTTCCCACCCGAGCACACGTTCACCTTTGCAGAGCTGAACCTTGCGGATGCCAGCGTCACGCTGAGCGGCCTCGTCGTCAACGTCCCATATCAGGACGTGTATGCCGACACGACGTCGCAGGAGTATGCAGACTTTGCTGGCGTGCTGCAGACGGAGCTGGCCACTGTTGTGGACACGGACCCGTCACGTGTGACCATCACGGGCATCTCTCCCGTCGACGCGACCAACTACAACTCTGGCATCACCGTCTCGCTCCGTTTTACGCCTGAAGGAACAGACACAGCAGCTACTGGCCGTCGCCGTCGTGCTACCACTTCGACTGCCACGGATCTCGCCAGCCTGCTGCAGAGCCGGCTGCAGAACGCCACGTACACGGAATCGCTCTCTGTCCTCAACTCTGCCTCGCTGGACGAGGCAGCGATAGTTGATGTGGAGCCATCTGCGACTGACACGGCACAGCAGCAGACATCGAGCAGCAACACGGGCGGTGCCTCTGCATCGACATCCCTCTCTTCCGGCACCTCCACCTCATCTTCGGATTCCTGGGCAGGCATCAAGCTTGGTGAGTGGGCTAGCTTGCGACGGGTAGAAGGGCAGGAGTGGTTTCGTGGTGCATGCGTGCGTGTACATGTGCGTGTGTGTGCGTGTGTACGCATGGGGCGTGATGCATGCGTGCCGCCTTGGTGTTTGCCGGCTTTGATCTTTGTGATGTCTCCCTCTTCGCCCTGCTCCCCACCCACACCCAAATGTGCTCACCTCACAATCTTGCTTTGTGCACGTTTTCAATCGCAGATGCATCCTTGGCGCTGAACATTGCCCAGTTGCTGATTGTGATTGCGGTGTTTGCCCGCATGTACGGGTGCGCTGGAAAGAACAAGGGCGCTGAGCACGATGATGCTGATGCAAGTGGCGAGAAGAAAGCCACGGGTGATTCGCAGAGCGAGCAGTCAACCAAGTGGTTTAAGCCCTGGAGCCGCAGCATGTCGGCCAAAGTGAAGCCGTTCACGGCTGAACCAGAAAATGCCGTCTGAGCTGTTTGAGAGAAGTGGGGAAGGGTGGCGGCTTTGCCTTGGGTGCGTGTGTGAGTGTGTGTGTGTGTGTGTGTGTGTGTGTGTGTGTGTGAGTGAGTGTGTGAGAGAGAGAGTGTGTGTGTGTGTGTGTGAGCGAGTATGTGTGTGTGTGTGCGTGTTGTTCAAGCCAGTTAACGCCAGTTCAGCTTGTCTGTTGTGACGATTGCATCGATGCATCAAAGTCTATTACACATTACCATTGACCAAGAAGAATATATGCTGTGCAAGCCAGGGAGAAAGTGTGTGATGGTGGGAAAGCAGCGTGGATGGAAGGCAGCTAGCTGTGTGTGACATGATTGGTGACTTTTTTGCTGAGCACACCCGACTTTCAACACAACACACACACAGACCAGCAGGCCTCAGAGCCGCACACAATCAGGGGTTCTGCCGGTAGTAGTCGTCCTTGAGATGCTCCACGCCATGAAAGAAGTTGTCTCTAATGTGTTGCAGCTGCTCGTGGCGCTTGGCAGAGAGAGTGATGGTGGGAACGAGCTCAGCCTCAGTGAAAATGCCAGCCTGGAACTGCTGCGGCCCAACACCTGGTCGAAGCATGTTCACCTCCGACCAGTCGTCGGACGGCGACGCGCGGTACCGAACAACGCCCAGCCTGTCCTTGTCAAAGAAGAAATGTTTGTACTTGGTTGGCTTGAGCTGCTGCTGCTGGCGAAACAGAAGCCCGAGGCGGGCGGTGTGGTTGCGGATAGGGACGGAGCCCGCGTTGGTCACGCTGTTGGCTGTAGATGAGCGCTTAATGATGTCCATAAACTGTGTGGGCGTGAAGACATCTTCCGTCTTGAGCTTTCGCTTGATCAGGCCGAAGAAGGCGTCGTGCAGGCCCGCCGTGTGGCCTTGAAGCAGAAAGTGGTAATACACGGAGCACTTGAACACGTGTGCATAGGCGGCGAAGAAGAACAAGAATGTCCAATTCTTGTTTTGGGCGCCACAGTTGTCGGCCACGGCGTAGAGGAAGTCACGCCTGCCAATTGATGCTAGGCGGTGGTAAACGAGCGATGCGATGAAGTTGGCGCCGCGGACTTTCGGCGAGTCTTGTTCGTGCCACACATAATTCATCTGTGTGCGTCGCGCCAAGTCCGCCACACCGAACGCCTCCACTTTCAGGCCGCTTTCATTGTACAACGCCTGATATCGACAACAACAAGCAGCGGGAAGTGAGACGAGAGGCAGAGACCAAAGCTGGCTCCACATGCCCACACCTGTTCTCGACACTCCTTGCACACGCCACATCAGCCAACCTTTGTCGGATCGAGGATGTGCGGGAGGCGAGTAGTGCCTGCCATGCCGAAGCTGATGACGTGGTGCCCTGCCTTGCCACCAAACTCAATCCAGTCGTTCATAAACTGGCGCTCAGCCTTGGCCAGCTTCAGGTGGTGAATCAGATACTCCCACATCTGTTCAATAATGCAGAAGCGATGCTCGCGTGAGTGCTAAACCAGACACACACACACACACACACACACACACACACACACACACACACACACACACACACACACACACACACACACACACACATTCAACAGGCACCCGCACGCAGCGCTGTACCTCGCCGCTCTTAAGCTTCGAGCACGTGTCACACACATCTGTGCGGGTCTTGGCGTGTCCGATGTGCTTGAGGTGTTTCGCCCACACGCGCTTGAACGTGGCCAGCGACGTCGCATCACCTGTTATCGCCATGACCACACAGCTGTGTGAGGGCCAGCATGCACACAGACAGACAGACAGACAGACAGACAGACAGACAGACAGACAGACAGACAGACAGACAGACAGACAGACAGACAGACACACACACACACACCAACCAGCACCACCACCACCGCCCAAATGCGTACCAGTGGCAGTCTGATAGCGCTTGTGTAGCTTTGCCCTGGACATTGAGATCGGCAGCAGCACTTGGGCGCCGCGCCCCGCGGGATTGGGCAGCCCATGTATTGCGGCCACCCACTTGATGAAACTAACAACGCGTTGGGCGGTGAAAACACCAGCGCCTCTGAGATGCTTCCCGTGAAGCGATGGCCGTGGCACCATGACACCCTCCTTAACGTCACATGTCGCCTCCTTGATGACGCGCCCCCCAATCCCAAGCACATTCCGAAAGCCGTCCTTGCACAGCGGCACCCCGAGAACGCGATAGTCGATGGTGAGCCGGCTGCGATCAGGCACGTGCTCTTGCCACCCGTCCTCGCAAGTGGCATCATCCCGCCCATTGCCAACTTGCCACGGCGGCACCTTGAGGCCCGTGGCGATGATGGCCTGCACCATTCGGCGGCGTTCGTGTTGACCAAGCTGGAACACTTGGGACCGGAGGCTCTCGAGCGTGCCAGCGCCAAACGACTTCCAGCACTTGCCGGCTCGGCCAGCAGCGCACTTGCACTCCCGCATTGGACAAGGCCTCGACCGCGACTTCATAGCGGTCGCTGGTGGCTGGGGGATCAGGGCTGCGACGGCCTCAGCCACTTGCGGCAGAAGAGCGGTCGAGAAATCATGTTGCTTGTCGGCAGCAACGTCAATCAGGGCTGCACTGGTCTGTTGCTGCGGTTGCTGTTGGGGTGATTGTCGAGGGCGCTTTGCTGGTGGGCTGCTCAGCAGTCGTGCCAGATGCGGCTGGAATTGAAGAGGGATTGGGAGGGCTGGAGCATCAGCAACTGTCACCGGAGCGCGCCGGTGCAGCAGGCTCGCAGGCAGAGGCTGAGCTGGTGGTTGTGATTGTGAAGCCCCGGAGGCAGGAGGCTCCGTAGACACCGCGTGTGGTGTATGCGATGCGGCCGGCAAAGATGGTGGATGACTCGGCGATGAGACATTAACTGGTGTTGGTGGCACCTCTTCCTCGCACAGCCGTGACAATGCTGGGGAGAGCGGTGTGTTCTGAGTCCAGTCGTCCCCCTCGCCACCACCACCACCATCACTACCACCATCACTACCACCATCATCATCATCATCATCATCATCATCGTCGTCGTCGTCGTCGTCGTCGTCGTTGTCGTCGTTGCCGCCGCCGTCTTCAAGGAGAGAGGTCACGCGAAGAGGCCTGCGAAGAGTGTTGGTGTCAGGACACGGTGACAAGAATGAGCATCCAGGCATCCATCCATTGGCATTCAAGGGGGGTCGCATGCACATGATGGTCATTCACACAGACAGACGCACCCGCCAAAGTATTCCTTGTTGATGAAATCGCTTCCAGTCCGCAAAGCTTCGTTGCACTCCGCGCTCGCAGTTTCAAGGGGCGACACTGTGCGCTCGGCGGCGTCATTCTGCAGAAGCATCAGCAGCGCTGCCGCAGCCTGCTCGCGAGCAGCACCATCATCAAACACGTCCTCCTCTTCCACACCATCACCATCCCAATCCCACACACCATCCATCATCCTGCGCGATCTGTCCACTGAGGACATTCTCAATGAGCGATCACAGAAGGTAGGTTTTGCAGAAAAACAACGGTAATTATTGTGAATTTTCGTATTCACAAGACAAAGCAGGTCAAGCAGGAAATAAGGGCACAAGGCGCATCAGCAGCAGCGAAGCAGCAGCAGAGAAGGAAGAACACGTGGTTTTGTGGGGCAAGCGAGACGAACGGCCAGCAGCAGCACGATGCCAGCGAGGAAGAAAGCGACCCCCACCACCAACGGTGCGGATGTGGAGAAGAAGGGTGCGGTGAAGGTGCAGGAAGAGAAGAAGCAGAGCCAAGGGAAGAAGAGCAACAAAGCCAAGCCTGGTCGCAAGCAGGCCGCAACACAGGACAAATCACAGCAGCAAAAGCAGAAGGAGACACAGGAAAAGGCGAAGAAGACCAAGAAGCAACAACAGAAGCAACAGAAGCAGAAGCAGAAAGGCAAACAACAGCCCACAACAACAGGCAGCGCAAGCAGATCAAACAGAAAACACAAGGCCAAGGCCCTACCCGCGCCTCTCACAGCACAGCCGGTTGCCCTCGGTGAAGAAACCTTCATTGCGTGAGTTGATGGTGCTTGTGTGTGTGTATGTGTGTATGTGTGATGTGTGCTTGTGTGTGTGTATGTGTGTATGTGTGTATGTGTGCTTGTGTGTGTGTATGTATGTGTGTGTGTATGTGTGTATGTATGTGTGTGCGTGTGGTTATTGAGCCGAGCGAGAGTCACCTGTGCATTGCTGGGGGTTTGTACATGAACGCGTGCCGTCTCGACGATGGGTGAGCTGCGTGACTCATCCACCGGGGAATGCAAATGCACGGTCTTGCTTGTAGCCGATTGCAGGAGCATGCGGATGCTGAGAACTCAGAGCAGCTTCAGATCGCTCTCCTGCAGGTAATGGTGAATGGGCATCTGTTTTTTCTTTGTGAAACGGAGGAGGTAACATGCTTTGACGTGATACATCCTCAACTGTGAATACACAGCAACTTACCAGCAGCATTGCACATGGTGTCATTGCTCGTTTTGCTGCACTGGGGCTGGACTTCTGGCTCAGGCGTTTGCACGGCCACATCACGAATCCTCGCTCCTGAAATCCCTTCGCAAGATGCCGTTCACCTCAGCCGTGGTGCGCATGTGTACTGGTTGCGTGCGCGTGGTGTGCTCGCTCTGTGTGTGTTGTGTGCTCTGTGCTCTGTGTGTACTGTGTGTGTACTGTGTGTGTGTGTGCTGTGTTGTGTGCTCTGTGTGTGTGTGTGTGTGTGTGTGTGTGTGTGTGTGTGTGTGTGTGTGTGTGTGTATCTCGTGGCTTGATTGCGGTGGTATGTGCTTGTTTTGGCTTGTGACGTCGTCAGGTCGGTGGACCACTGCGCCGATGAAGCATATTGTGCACTTGCATCTGGTTTCCAACTGACGCGCGTATTCCCTACACGCGTTGTTTGGTGCGACCCTGTTCCATCGTGTTGGGGTTGAGCAGACTGTGCTGCAGGAGAGCACGGCTGCGCTTGAGCTGTTGTTCGACGCCAGCCCGCAGGAATTGTCTGCCCTTGCACAGAGCAGGACGCCGCCGTCGCTTGCATATGCGCTCACGTTTGTCAACACACTCGTCGATGCGCACCTTGCCGGCCTCCTCACTGACACAACCTGGTTGGTGTGTCTGTGTATCTGTGTGTGTGTGTGTGTGTGTGTGTGTCTGTGCGTGCGTGTGTGTGCGTGTGTGTGCGTGTCTGTGCGTGCGTGCGTGCGTGCGTGTCTGTGTGTGTGTGTGTGTTAGTGTGTGTGTGGCTGTGCGTGTGTGTGTGTGTGAGTGTGTGCGTGCGTGCGTGTGTGTGCGTGCGTGTGTGGTATAGCTTTCAAAAGCCTTCCACAGGAAAAAGAGTACGACTGAAGAGTGTGTCTTGGTTGAACCCTTTTCCGATCATCTCACACCAATCTTTGTTGCGCCACTTTGGGCATCATCGTTCACACAGCGTTCCCCTGCTGAGGAAACTTGCTGATCTCGTTCACCGCTATGAAGCGCTGTGCACACAGGTACATTGCATGCATCGCAGATGTGCACACCCGCAAACCGTTGTACACACATGCACACACACGTACACATGTACACACACGTACACACACACACGTTCACACACACACATGCACACATGCATGCGTTAACATGTGCCTGTGTTGTCTCACACTTGCTGTGTCTGTCACCACTGCACGTGTGCTCGGATGCTACACTACAGCTGCAGCAACTTGACGGCATGATGTACCACCTGAAGCGGGAGCAGCGACTGCAGCGCACCAAAGGCCGCCGCAATGCACGAGCGTCCACTGCTGCCGCCAAGTCTACAGCACACGCTCAGCCCGTCGCATATGTCACCCGCACATACACCGTTGAAGCCCTTGACCTCTCCTAACCACCAATCGGTTGTGTGTGTGTGTGTGTGTGTCTACACGCTGTTTGCCCGTGTGTGCAGTTTACGTGTGTACATGTATGTCACGTATGTGCGTGAAGAGTGTGTTGTATCATGCAGTTGGTTTCAGGTTTGTGTGTGTGTGTGAATGAACATTAAATCACGCGTTTAGCTGTAATTGGTCGAGTAGTCGCTGAGCAAGATCAGATGGCGCGACAATTGGCTGAAACAACAAAGTGGGAGATTACACACACACACACACACACACACACTTCCACTTCAAGACACGCGCATGTACAGCATGCCGCCAACGAAAACGAAGAGGAAGGAGAAGGAGAGCAATAGGTCGTGAAGTGCACGCGCGTATAACAGTGACGAGCGTTTGCAGTACCTCCCAAAATATGCACACCATGCTTATCATCCCACACACACACACACGGAGGCAAACAGACAGTCTCGCACACACACACACACGCACACACACACACACACACACACACACACACACACACACACGCACACGCACACGCACACGCACACACACAGAGTCATACACACACACACACACACACACACACACACATACACACAAACCACCATGATCAGAGGGTGTCTTTCCTCGCGCTGACGCGGTCACCGTCGTCGTCGCTGTCAACCACATCCTCATCGCCATCGTCGCCCTCCTGTTGCGCCTCCTCCTGTGCTTTGAGCACCTCCTCATCCACGGGCGCTTTCGGTGCGCGCGTCTTTGCTGTCAGCTCCTTCAGCTTGTGTTTCACCAACTGCACGATTGTGCATGGGTACGTGTGTGTGTGTGTGCGAAAATGTGAGTGAGTGAGTGAGTGAGTGAGTGAGTGAGTGAGTGAGTGAGTGAGTGAGTGAGTGAGTGAGTGAGTGAGTGAGTGAGTGAGTGAGTGAGTGAGTGAGTGGGTGGAGCGGACGACACATAGTGCGATGTGAAGGCTACGGTTGCTGAAACGAGTGAACTGTGTTGGCAAGTGGATGCTTGACAGCGCGAACAATAGTTGCACCAAATAGATGCAGCCACACATTCACACACAACACATTCAAACACATACATATACACACTCACACACACGTACGCACGCAACATACACACGCACACACACACACACACACACACAACACATTCACACACACAACACACATACACGCACGCACGCACCTTTCCCGTGGCCATGATTTTGTCCGCCTCGACTTTGATGACCTTGAACGGGCCCTCCTCTGTTCGTGACGCAAGCTCATTTTCCAAACTCTGCTTAATGCTCTTCTCCAGCATCTGTGCCAACGCCAACACGTGCAAGGGGTTTGTTAGTGGGATGAGCACAAGCCACTACCATTGGCATAGACACATGCACACGCACGCACGCACATGCACGAGCAGTATCAGGCGCACAAACCTGCGCAGATACAAGCACAAGCACATGCACATGCACGCACACACACATCAGGAAACCAAACCTGCGCAGACACAGGCAAATGCATAAAGATACACGAGCACGCCACAGTGTGTACACGTACCCGCTGCGTTTTCATGTGTTGGATGGCCTTTGCCTTCTTTGGCGCGACAAATCTCTCTGTCATATTCCAGCGCATGGGAGTCACAACGCACGCACGCGTGAATTCACGCGGACGATTCCACTGTTGTTGCCCTGAACAGATCACACACACACACACACGCACACGTATGCACACACGCACACGTACACACACGCGCACACACGCCCACACACACACACGTACACGCGCACACACACACACACACAAAAGGTTGGTGACGTACTTCCTTTCTTGGTTCGTTTTGCACTGCGTCTCTGTTGATGAGCCCTGTTCTTGCCTTTGGCGTGCTCATTCTTCGAGCCTTTAAACCCTTGCACCATGGCGATTGCTCTGTGTGTGTGTGTGTGTGTGTGTGTGTGTGTGTGTGTGTGTGTGTGTGTGTGTGTGTGTGTGTGTGTGCAGTGGTGGTGGTGGTGGTGGGTTGAAGTGGATCCAACAAGCAAGGAAGCAAGCTGGTGTGTCCTCTCGTGTCACGTGGATGACCAGTTCACGACAGCACAAGTTGAGAGTGGGCACTTCGGATCCGACGATTCGCAACCACGCGGACGAAAATTCGACGCAGTGGTTGGGGCGAGCCTGCAGGCAACAGGCAAGAAGCGGGTGCGGCATCCAACCAACAACGGCCGCCGCCCTCCCTTGCTGGCTTTTCGTTTTGATTTTTTTGCGTGCTTGCATCTCTCCGTCACATTTTCATGGGTGGTGCCCTGCATCTCTCCCCTCTCTTCGTGCGTGCGTGCATCCTCTTGTCGTGCATGCGTGCTTCCCCCTTCTTGTGTGCGACTCTCGGACTGTGCAAGCAAGCAAACAAGCAAGCAAGCAAGAACCTCGAACGTGGTGCTGGCCAACGTCGTAACGCGAGCTCGCCTTCCTTCTTCGAGGTTTGTAGTTGGCTGTTTGGTCGTGTGCGGTTCGTGCCCTTCATCACATCACATCAACCACACACAACTGTTGCATGCATCCATGCGTGCATGCACGCATCAAGCCAACCAACACGTACCACATGCACGCACGCTTGGTAGCTTTGCTTGCTTGCAAACAAAAGAAAGCAACGACTTCCAAACTGCTCGTTGCGATCCACTTTGCGTCGTGATGTGACTCGGACATTTTCCACACCAATGTTGTTGGATCCTCACCACCGCATCATGTCTCACCATCGTGTTGCCATGATGACTGCCTGACTGCTGCTGCCGTTGGTGCTGCTGCTTCCCCTCCAGCCATCTCCGTCCTCAACTCGCTTTCCTTGTGCTCCACGTTCCCTTCCTTCTCTCGCCTTCGCTTCGCATCTGACCTGGAACCAAGCAACCGTCTCCAAGGTAAGAAGCAGTCATGTCATTGCCGTCATGTTGTCTTGCTGTGGTGTTGTCTTGCTGTGGTGGTTGCTGAGCAGTGGCAACAACACACACACACACGCACACGCACACAACACACACACGCATACACACGCACACGCATACACACGCACACACACACACACACGCACACACACACACTTGGTTCTCATCCACGCACGCATGCACATCCACACATGCACATCCACACATGCACATCCACGCACGCATGCGCATGCACTCACACATTTCCACGTAGCATGGATGCAAGCCAAACTGGGCCAGAGCACCAGGTGTTGACAAGCGTGAACGCACCGCAGACGGCAAGCGCGAATGCACCACCAACCTCGTCCACAGGCATCCAACAACCGGCAACACACCCCAACAACACCATCTCCGACAACACCACCCAAGTGGCACCCAGCACACAGAACGCCAACGGCAGCATCCAACAACAGCAACAACAACAGCAACAGTTGCAACACGCTGCACACACACCTTCATCGTCGCCGTGTGGCCTTGAACTGAGCGACATGCCACTGCCGCCTGCCAAGTTGCCTCCCTCGCCCCCAGCTGGAGCCCCCGACGCCCCACTGTCCTCGGAGCAGCCTTTGGTCAGCCAAGCAGAACCCACAGCACAACACACCACCACCGGCAGCAACAACAACAACAGCGACGACAACAGCAACCACGACGACAACAACAACGACAACAACGACAACAACAACAACAAAGGCAACGACAACAACGACAGCGACAACAGCAACGATAACAGCAGCCGTAGCATCGACACCAAGTCTACACTTGCATCTTCAAACCAAGAAACGCCAGCCACGGGCAGCTCCGCCACTCACGCCGCCAGCCTGCCGTCCTCAGCATCATCGACATCAGCGTCCATATCCTCGCTGCCCAAGCACCAGCTGGGCAATGGGCGCGCCACTTCCACCAGCAGCGATGTCACCACGGCCTCCCCTGTGACCAGCGCGCCCGAGAAGGATGATGGCAGCAATGGCGACAATGATGATGACGAGCAACAAGGCAAGAGGGCCAAGCTCGAACGCGCAACCACATCACAACATCAGCAACAGCAGCAGCCTGCTGCTCTCGCAGCATCAACCACAGTAGGAGCCACAGATACCCCGCAGGAGGACCCGCAAGAAGTGGCATTAATAAGGTGTGCGTATGCGTGTGCGTGTGCGTGTGCGTGTGCGTGTGTGTGTGTGTGTGTGCGTGTGTGCGTGTGTGTGTGCGTGCGTGCGTGGCGTGTTTGTGAAGAGAATTTGTGTAGAGGATTTGTGTGTGTGAGTGAGTGATGCAGTGCAAGGCAACGTGGGAGATATATGTGTCAGCGAGTGGGTGGGAGCGTGGTGCGTGTTGTGTGCGTGTGTGAACAGACAACACAACCTGTGAGTGGTATTGCGCACTCACCTGCTGACGCGCGTCGACGTTTGCTCCGGCATGACCAGCTTGCCAGGGCCTGATTCGAAGCGACCAAAGCGTACAGAGGACACAGAGGACAACAGCAACAACGCCGATCAACGCAGCGCAACTGGCACGACTCTCAGCGACGATAACAGGAATACCAGCAAGGACACGCAACCGTCTTCTCCAAGAATACGACAACAAGAAGACAAGGAGCAGCAGCAACAGCAACCGCAAACAGAACAACAGCAACAACAACAACCTGAACAACAACCGCAAACAGAACAACAACAACAACAACAACAACAACAACAACAACAACCGCAAACAGAACAACAACAACAACAACAACAACAACAACAACAACAACAACAACAACAACAACAACAACAACAACAACAACAACCGCAAACAGAACAACAACAACAACAACAACAACAACAACAACAACAACCGCAAACAGAACAACAACCGCAAACAGAACAACAACCGCAAACAGAACAACATCACCACAAACAACAACCGCAGCAGCAGCCGCAACAACAACACGACGAGGCGGATGATAGCGCCGACGTACTGGCGAATGCACGAACTGTCGGCCAGGAGTTGAGTCGCACACAGTTGTCCCGGCGCTTCAACGAGCTGCGGTTTGGTGACAGGGTGAGTCCACACATTGGAGTTTCTGCTCTGACTTGCGTGTACCTGGCTGCTGGGTGCATGCGTGTTTAGACGTTCATTCTGCGTGAGCTTGTCCACTGACAACACATGCCAGATTGTGTGTGTGCGTGTGTGTGTGTGTTTGTGCACTTGTGTGTGCACGGTGGGAGAGTACGCAGTGGATACCGCAGGGCTTGAACAGTGAACATGGTGGTGGTGGTGGTGGTGGTGGTGGTGGTGGTCGCGTAGTGAATTGTGTGCGCATGTGTGTGTGTGTGTGTGTGCATGCGTGTGCATAGCCATGATGGACTTACCTACTTCCTGACACATGCACTTGTCCATGGTATGCTCGTGCTCATGCTCATGCTCGTGCCCCACACAGGTGCGCTTGAAGCCCACTGGCACAGGCAGCAAATCGGACATCACTGTGAAGCGTCCGGAGCTGCTGGGCAAAGAAGGCACCATCATATCCGTGCCGACATACCCCACAACCTGGCTTACCATCAAGATCGACGAGACGTCCGAGTCCATCAAGGTAACGTGTCCATTTCCAGCCTCTCCGCCACCACCACTAGAAGTGCATGCATGCATGCATGCGTGCGTGCAAATGCATACACACCAACGCTTGCTCTCTGTTCTCTCTCTCTCTCTCTCTCTCTCTCTCTCTCTCTCTCTCTCTCTCTCTCTCTCTCTCTCTCTCTCTCTCTCTCTCTCTCTCTCTCTCTTCCCCCTCCCAATTACCCATTGTTCTCCTTTTTATCTCTGCTTGTTATTCGCCCCCGTTTGTTTGTTATTTGCTCTACAACTGAGGGGTATTGTTCAAGCCTCCACGGCAGCTTTCAGCTGACTCAGCATAACTCCACCACAGCTGTGGTTGGCAGCATGAACCTGACCCCATGTGCACACACGTGCGACGTCGCCCCTTTCTCTCTTCTTGTTCTGCCTGTTTTCCTGACCGTTCTTCCCCTTCTACATACACCCCTCTCCTTCCCTGGTCACTTGTCCCTCTCCCCCAAGTCTTTGTCCCCTCCTCTCGTTGTCTCAACCACACACTCTCGCACAAACAAGGTGCTGCTGAAGCAATCTCGCTTTCTCCCACCACGTCCACTGCACAATCTCTTCCCCCCGCTCTCTCTCTTTGACCCAATCATACTGACCAAAGACAAGACATGCTCGCCTCTCCCCCCTCCTTCCCTCCCTTGTCAGTTGGCGCTGAATTATGCTTGCTTCTTTGCAACCGTTGCGGTTGCTGTTGTTATCGCTGTTGCTCATTTCCATCTTCTCACCTTGTGCTCTTATGACCATCACCCACCAACCCACCCACCATGTGGCCGCCGCCCGCAATCTACCCTCCTGTGCCTGTCCGTGGACTGCGCCCCGGTTATGGCTCGCACCCGCCTCCCTCCCACGCGCCCGCTTTGCATCCCTCACCCTCCACGCACTTCACTGTGCTTCCTTCGTCTCACCACAACCCCCACCACTCAACACTTGCCACCAACCGCGTTTCCACCGTCATTCCCGTTCGTCCCTTTCCTGCTCCGCGTCCTGGGACCTCCTACTTTTACGCCGCCTATCGCGCACACCGCGCATCTGCTTTTATTTCGGTTTCTTCCTCTTCCTCCGTGCTTGCACGCACCGCTGTTCCCTCGCGCCGTGTTGGCAATGCTGCCAATCTTCGCCGTGTCAATTCTCGCCGTGCCTCGCGTGTGTTCTCGACTGCCCCATCGCGTTTCGTTCCCGTGCGCCGCCCAACACCAACCACAACATCTTCCGCTTCAACTGCGCCACTTGTCTCTCCTGATCCTCCTGCTGTTTCATCACATCTGATGGCATCTACTGTGGCGCCGTCTCTGCACATTCCACCTCATGTGACCTCCCCTTCTTCGGGGCCACCCTCGCCCGTGATGCGTGTGATGCCTTGCCGTCCACGAACACCGCCCCGTTTTGCATCCACGACAACTGGCTCCTCATCCCCTTGTGCTTCTACCCCGTCATCCCCCACCTCAATCACCGCCATTCCTTCTCCCTCCACTGCTGCCACTGCTCCCCCGCCGCGCACACGTCCTTCTTCGTTTTCTGCTGCTTCTTTTTCTGCTGCTTTGTTTTGTGCTGCCGCTGCCGCTGGTGCTTATCCCACTGATTTTCCTGCATCTTCCATACCCCTGCACCACCCACCCATCTATGTTTACCCTACACCTACCCGCAATCCGCTCTTCCCCACCTTCCTCCCTCCCCACGTGCTCGCCCCTGTCCCTGCTCCTGCGCCTCCTCTACAACGCGGCCCGCAGGTTCGCTCAAGCAACATCCGCCTCACCGACCCACGCCTTGCCAAGTACGTGCACACGGAGCGCCTTGCGCGCTCCATTTTCTTCAACCAGCTGCGCGTCGGCCTTCGTGTGTATGTCCTGAACAAACCGCGCGACTCGTACCCGCAAGGCACCAACTTCAGCAAGCAAGGCCAGCTCGGCATCATCGAGAACATCCCAGAGTACCCCGGGTGCGTGCATGCAAACGCTTTCGAAGACGCGCGCGTGTGTATGTGTAAATGCACGCGTGTGTGTTTGTATGACTGTGTGTGCGTGTGAGAGTGTGTTTGTATGTGAGTGAGTGTGCGTGTGAGTGAGTGTGTGTGTGTGTGTGTGTGTGAACTGGAGATGTTTGCAGGCCTTTACACCCGGGTCTACTTCATATCTCCTCTTGATGACTGTCTGTTTTGTGTTGCTTGCTGCTTTATCTCTGCCCCTCTGTGTTGCGTGCTTGCATGCATGCATGCATGCATGTATGCCTGCGCATGCCATATGCCCTCACGGTGCCAGCATGTCGCCCACAATCTCTTGGTCTCACCACGCCATGCTCCTGCGTGCCACTCAACGATGCATTCTCCAACAGCACGTGGCTGACAGTGCGGCTGGACGGCAAGAACACGTCTGTCAAGGTTCGCTCCTCCCGAATCTCCATCGCCAATCCCGAGGACCTGCCCTCCGATCGTGAGCTGCGACTTGCGCTCGAGCGCGCGCGCCAGAAGGCCGAGGAAGCCCGCAAGCGCCCCGCACCATCAAGCGGCCGCAGGCGCCGCACACAGGGCGGCAACAGCGACAACGACGACGACGGTGGTGACAGCGGTGGCGACGAGGGTGGTGCTGCTGCGAACGGAGCTGCATCTGGACGTGCGCGCGGTCGTGGTCGGCGCAGCAGCGGTGGTCGTGGCCGTGGCCGTGGCCGTGGCCGTGGCCGTGGTAGCACGAAAAAGGGGCGTGCTGCTGTCCGTCGTCGGGCGAGTGAGCGAGGCCAGGCAGCTGTGGGCGCACCGGCGTCCTCTGCTCAGGGCCAGCCTCCAGCTGCTGCCACCGCCAGCAGCAGCGCCTACCCCGCCGATGGAAACGTGAGCACTTCCTTCATGTGTCACGCTGTTGCTTCCACTGTGCTCAGCATGTGTCACGGCCATCTTTACTTGATTGATTGCACACCCTCAGCACACGCTCACACCCGCTCACGCGACTCATCACCCGCTCACGCCATCTTGCAAACACACACATGTCACATCCCACGCTCACGTCACACGCTCACGCGTGTCACAGATGGCGATGATGACGCAGCAGGTGATGATGGCGTACCAGCCATACACGATGCAGCAGTTGTCGCAGGTGTACCCAGGCATGAGCCATCAGATGTCGCCGTTTATGCCTCCTGGCTGGACTGTTCCTCCTCCCCAACAGGACGATCCGAACATGCATCACGCCTCGGTGCTGCCGCTGCCACAGCAGCCACAACAGCCACAGCAGGCGGCTGAGCTTCACCAGGCTCCCCAGCATCAGGTGTCGCCACAGCACCAACGGACACCACCGCCGCCGCATCACATCCCGTCGCCGCCGCGTGGGGCTGTTCCCCACCCTGCAGCTGCCCATCTCCCGCCAGTGGGCATCTCGCCGCAGCGCCAGCAGCAGCACTCGCAACACCCCCACGTGCAAGGCTCGCCCCAGCACCACCGCCACCACCACCACCACCAGCAGCAGCAGCAGTACCAACAGCCACCACCACCGCATCAGCCTCCTCAAGCTCATCTTCACCATCCCCACCATCATCAGCAACCGCCGCAGCAGCACACCTCGCCTCAGATGCCACAGCCAGACATGCACCCGCACCACGCCCCAGACAACTGTGAGTGAGGTTGCTCACACACTGTGTGTGTGTGTGTGTTTGCATTGACGTTGGTTGTTGTCCTTGACGCGTGCTCATTGCGCTATTGCGTGCGTGTATATTCTGACTAACCCTCTCACCACGCACCTCACAATGACCACGGCTTGCACTGCCATCCCCGTCTTCCAACAGACGTGCCCCCAAACCCGGCCATGCTGTCCCCACGTCGGCCCATGCCGCAGGACACCGCTCTTCTCTATTGCCGCGACATTGTCATGCCAGCCCTCATCAACCACCGCCTCTCCTGGCCGTTCCTCAACCCCATTCCCCAAGAACACCTGGTGCGCGTGTGTGTATGTATATGTGTGTGTACGTGTGTGTGTGTGCCGTTTCGCGTGCAACATTTACTGTTCTTGTTGCTGCTTGCATTGTGTCTGTGTGACACCTCTGCCCACCACCTTTGCACAACTCACGTCCCTCTGCACACAACTCACGTCGCCGACCCACTCTGAACAGGAGCGGTTTGAGACCGCCCGCCAGCTGCAGGTTGCGTACAACACCAACACGCTGCCGAGCTTCAACTTGCTGCACAGCCGCATCCAGAGTGGCGCGTACACCAATGCCCTCTCCTTCATCAACGACATTCGAGAGTGCGTTGGTCGCAGGGCTGGCGCGTGCTTGATATGTTGAGAGTGTGATGTGTGGTTTCTGTGCTGTGGTGGAATGTTGAATGTCACTTGTGCTTGCAAGCATCGTTTCATGCGCTCACAGCAAGACCCCCTCCTGTTGTTGCACTGTTTTGTGTGTTGCTGGGTGGCTGAACTTGCCTGTCCGTCCGTCTGCCTGCCTGACCACTCATCTTCGTCTGTGTCTCCCTGTGTCTTCAGGCTGTTCCGCGCGTGCTATCTCTACTTCTCTGCCGACCAGTCGTTCATGGAGCTTGTCATTGAGCTTGAGATTGTGCTCGACCACTGTCTCGCCCGCGCTCCAAGGGTGAGTAGTGAAACGCATGATGTGTGTGTGTGTGTGTGTGTGTTGTGTGTGTGTGTGTGTGTGTTGCGGTGTGGTGATGGTGCATCGTTACTTTCTTTTTTTCGCCACGTCTTCCTTGCTCACTCTGCTGGCCATTTGCTCCTCCCTTCCCACAAACTTCCCACCACAATCGCTTCAGGACATCATGACGGCATCGTCTGGCCCACACGAGATGTAACTGCTGGAATGCGCCATCGGCACGTTCTCTCTTTCGGTGCTGCTGACAGGCACCCATGACAACCTGTCGATGACGCACCTGCGCTGCTCTACGTACACTGCGCTTGCTTCGGTCTGTCCTCGTGGTTTGACTGCTTCCCTCGTCTTTCGTTCTGTCTTTCCTTCCTTTATGGATGTGTGGTATTTGCGGCTGTGCTGCTTGACCTGCCCTCCCTCGTTCTCCCCTCCTTCCCCTTGTTTCATTCACTTTACTTCTTCCCCCTCTTTCTACCTGACCTACATGCCAACATGCTTGCTTGCTTGTGTCTTGTGTTTGTTGTGCACAACGTGTGTGTGTGAGGTTGTGTGTGAGTTCTTGAGCTCTCGTGTCGGCATGTTGTTGTCTGCCAGCTGGTAGCATGTTTTGGTGCACCACTTCGTCACACGTCACACAACACACAAACTGTAAACCCTACCACCCGTTGGGATGACCACGATGAAGAGGGTGAAGCGGTGAAGGACAGGGAGCAGATGCAACGAGCTGGAGGTGTCAGGTCAGTGTGAGGTGACAGTGAGTGAGTGCACAGCTTGTGCTCTTCGCTCGGTCCACTGTCCTCCATTCCCCACTGCCGTTGCGGAATATTCGATGGAAGTGTTCATAACTTTCTACAATTCAAGGCACGAAAGCTGCTGTTGGTTGCTGCTGTGTCTTGTTTGACGACGAGTGGTGCAGTGGCAGCGGACGACAGGAGGAAATGAGCTTTACATCGCGCCGTGTGCGGCGATTGCATGTTGGTGAAGCAATTCACCGCATGCAGGAGTTGCTCAAGCGCAGTCCCACAGCTCTTCCCTTTACAGACGTGAGTGATTCTGTTCGTTTGCTATATGTGTGTGTGTGCCATGTGTGTGAGTGTGCTTGTGCGTGAGTGAGTGTGCTTTGTGTGTGTGCTTTGTGTGTGTTTACGTGGTTGCGTTTGTGTATGAGTGTGCGTTTCTGTGCATGTATCCGTGTGTCTGTCCCTCTTTCTGTGCAAAAGTCTCGTGTTGGACGCATTTTGCAGGCAGGCATTGGTCTCACATGGCCTTTTTTTGGCTCGCCATGCATTCCCGTTATGTGGTGCAGGTGTTGCAACAACTTGAGCTGACCGAGTACCCAGAACAACAGATTGAGAAGCTCAAGCACGAAATCAACGAGCGAGACTCAAAGCTGCACTTGGAGGTGAGCGTCAGTGTGAGCGTCGTGATGATCACGAGCACGCACGGATCTGTTGCGTCCATGTTTCCAGAAGATGCTGGTGCTCACACGCATGCTTTGTCCCTGATTTGCGTGGGCGCATGAGCAGGATGGGTATGTTGCATTTCAACCGACATATGACGTCAAGAACAAGCAAGAGCTGTTGGACAAGCTGAAAGAGTTTGATCAGAAGGGCCTCGGCGGCATGCGTGTTGACGAGCTTGACGTATGTTCAGTGCTCTCTATCGTTGTTTTATTTCTGCAAGCGCTGTATGCCGCTGACTGATCCTTACTGACTGACTGACTGACTGACTGACTGACTGACTGACTGACTGACTGACTGGATGACTGGATGACTGACTGACTGACTGACTGACTGGATGACTGGATGGCTGACCCACTGGCACACTCACCTTGTGTTTTACACCCATGTCACCCATGACACATACACACACACACACACACTCTCTCTCTCTTGCTTGATGTCCTTGTGGATAGGGGTCATACGATGGAGTGTTGTTGGATGTGGACGAGCTCAAGGCAAAGGATTTGGTGTACTGCATCCACAACAAGACGGATCGTGTAGATGTGCTTTTCTTCAAGGACCCGGCACTGCGGGTACACATTGACAAGGCAATTGTGAAGCGATGGCGCATGGGTAAGCAATGTCTGCAGCTGCATGTGAAAAGCCATCAGAGCACATGGCAGGGGAGGGCGGATTAGGTTGCATGTGCGAGGGGTGTGTGGGGTGATAGAGGGATGACAATGGAAGTGTGTTTGATTGATTGATTGATTGATTTGGGAGTGTGTGAGTGAGCCCAATTCATTTGCACCATACCAACGAGTGTGTTGTGTGTGTGTGTGTGTGTGCGTGTGTGTGTATGCTTTGCAGAGAGTGTTCAGGGCAAGACAGACAAGGAACTCAAGCAATATCTAATCAATGGTATGTCAGGCAGGCTTGAGCGCACTTGTGTGTGCGCATGTTGTGTCTGTGTTGTGTCTGTGTTGTGTTGTGCTGTGTTGCGCGTGTTGCATGGTATGTGCTGGTACTCCTTTCCCTCCCCTGCTCACTGACAGCACCATGCATGTGCCTTTGTCTGTGTTTCATTCGCCCGTGCTCTTGCGTCTTCTCCAGCCCAAATGAAGCCCCTACAAGTCGAGAAGATACCAAAGGTGCGACATGCTCGCTGCTGGCATTGCTATTGTGTGCGGTTGCTGTGTGCTGTTGGTGTTGTTCAACCTGCTTCTTCTTCTCCACCCAACGCACACACACACACACACATACACACACACACGCACACACACACGCACACACACACACACACACACACACACACACACACACACACACGCACGCACACACACACACACACACACGCAGAAGCCCGTGGCGAAGGACGGGAAGAAGAAGCGGAGACGACGGCGCGACGCAAAGCGGTCGCAGCGCGTGCTTGCGGGCGTGCACCAGTTCATCAACGCACCAAAGCCTGTCTCTTCACCGCCGCCATCATCGTCGTCTGCAGCGTCAGCGTCCTCGGCACAAGCAGCAAAGGCCAGCAAGTAGTGATCGCTGCACCGTCAACCACACACACACACACACACACACACACACACACACACTCCCTTGGTTCATCAACATATGCGACTTGGCGTGTCACTATCTAATGTAAGCAATCGAGCAAGCAAGCAAGCAGAGTTGCAAGTGAAAGGTGCGATGAAAGGTCGTTCGTGGAATCTCATTGTCGGAAACAACACACAAACACAAACACAAACGCCCAAGCCTAACTGACGACCTTGCAATCGTTGTGTTACATGTTCGGTGGGTGTGGCAGCAGCAGCAGTAGCAGCGTGCAGGTAAGGTCCCAGCCCGGCAGGAAAGAGAAGAAGGACAACAGCAGGAGATACAAGGGCAGCAGCAACAACCCCAGCAGCAGCAGCGCGATGTTCAGGCGTAAACACCAAGAGGGCGGCGATGAAGCCAAGCAGTCGCAGCAGTCGCAGCACGGCGACGACGGCACCATGGTGATGCCGACGGCAGTGGCAACGCACCTGTGGGAGGCCGACGTGGCCACCCTGGAGAAGGTGGGCGAGCTGTTCACGGATGTGGCGCCACACTGGCGGTTCGTCAACCACAGCAGCGGCGAGACCATCGCCCTGCGGCTGTTCCAGCAGGGCGAGGACGCACTGTACCTGAAGGAGCTTGGCGGCCCGCGGCAGGTGCGCGTGGACGACGCCTGGCTGGCCATCTCCGAGGACCCGGACGAGAAGTGGAACATGGCTCGCATGGGCCTGCGCCTGCGCTGGGGCGCCAACATCTGGGAAGGATCCTTCAACGAGGACAAGACGGTGTGGTCGAGCACAACCGGTTACCTGCGTCACTGCTCGGACAAGTACGTCTGGCGCGAGGTCCTGGGCACGGGCAAGACTTTCACCTTTGTGGAGACACGGCGCGACGGCCCAGGCATCGTGCACCTCCACGACCCGTCCCGCCACCTCCACGTTCGCCTCACGCCGACAGTGATGCAGTTCAACACGGCCATTGGCCAGGTTGGCCAGGAGTCGGAGTGGCAGGTCATCAAGCGCGGTGCGTGTGTTTGTTCATGCGTGTGTGTGTGCGTGTGTGTGTGGATGTATGTGTGTGTGTGGATGCATGTGTGTGTGGATGCATGTGTGTGTGTGTGTGTGCGTGTGTGTGTGTGTGTGTGCGTGTGTGTGTGTGCGTGTGTGTGTGTGTGTGCGTGCGTGTGTGTGTGTGTGTGGATGCATGTGTGTGTGTGTGTGTGTGTGCATGTTTGCTTGCCCCTGCTTGTGTACATATTCGCGTTCATCCATACCTGCCTGCATCTCCTGTGTGTATGTATCGTTCACTGAGAGCTCAGTCTGATCCCACCTCCCTTCCACTTCAACTCCAATACACTCATCATATGCCGCGTGCTTCCGTGCTCACACCTCGCCCTCTCTCCCAATACCCACACGCCACCTCTGCGCACACACGCTCGCAGGCCACTGGACAGATGACGGCGAGAGTGCCCTGACGCAGCAGCGGCTGGGCCAGATGTGCCTGTCCACGTGGTCTGTGGACGACGTATGCGACTTCTTCACCGCGCTCGGCCTCAAGACGTGCGTGCCAAAGGTGCGGCAGCTTTCGCTCGACGGCCTGACCCTGCAGCGCATCGACGACAGCGACCTGAAGGATGAGCTCGGTGTCACCAGCGGCATCCTCCGCAAGAAGGTGCTGGCCAACATATCACGCGCCGTGCACACCACCCAGTACGAGCAGCTTGCCCCGCGCCCCGCCACCGCCAGCAACGCTGGCACCGGTCCTTCGGCCGTGTACACGGCAACGGTCAGGACCACCACGCCCGCAGCCCATCCGCCAAGCACAAAGGCGGCTGCACCAGCGCCACCACAGCCGGCATCGAGCGACGACAACAACGACGAGACCAGCGCAGGTATTGGCTCGCACGCGTCGCGTGTGGCGGCCAGCCAAGCCGCGCGCAGTGACGGGGACAGCGGCCGCGATGGTGCGACGAAGAAGGAGGGCACGGTGTTCCTGTCGTACACGTGGAAGTACCAGGAGCGAGTGCGCGCGGTTCGGGACAAGCTTGCGGACGAAGGGTACGCCACGTGGATGGACATCCAGCAGCTCTCTGGCGGGGACAACCTCCTTGCGCAAATTGATCACGGCATCCGCACGTCAGACGTGGTGGTCTCGTTTGTGAGCTCCGAGTACTCCAAGTCGGACTACTGCCGCAAGGAGGTGATGCTTGCTGAGAACCTGCAGAAGCCAATCCTCTGTGTTCTCGTGGAGCCCGCGCCGCGCATTCCCTGGCCGCCGACCGGCCCAAGTGAGCACTTTGTTTTGTGTGTGTGTGTGTGTGTGTGTGTGTGTGTGTGTGTGTGTGTGTGTGTGTGTGTGTGCGTATGTGTTTGTGTGTGTTTGAGTGCGGCTGTGTATGTGTGTGTGCGTGTGTGGTTTTATTGCAGTCACGTGACACTTGATATCCGTCTGACCACCCCACTTGTCCTCACCATCACCGTTGACCCTCTCCTTTCCGTCCACCTCCAACAGTGGGCCCCGTGTTTGCCGGCGCGCTGTACATCGAGTACTTCAACGAGGAGACGATTGCTGCCGTTGTCCGCGGTGTCACCGATCGCATCAAGCAGGCCCGCGCTCTCAAGGATGCTGCCAAGGACTGATGCTGCCCTGCTTGGGAAGCGCAGGAGGCCGGGGGTGTTGGGTTGTGGTGGTGATGTTTGTGCGTGATTCATGCATATCCGTGCGTTTGATTTACTTGTGTGGGTGTGCTGTTATCTCAGTGTTTTCCATTTGCTTCACGTGTGATTGTGTTGCGGATTAATGGTCGGTTATTATGTTACAGCAAAAGAGGGGAGTAACGCCAAAACACGGCCTGTATGATGATGCAATAGTTTGTGTACATGTATGCGTGTGCGTTTGGGATGTATGTGCTTGTAAGAGTGTGTACATGTGTGTGCATGTGTGCGTCGATCAAAATAAACCGTATGTTCCCTTCGACACCAAGCCGAACATCACGGGGATGTGTTGAGCATTGGCACGAGTGTGCAGCGGAGAAAGGAGAGAACGCCATCGCCAGCAACCAGCGCAGCCGTCTGTTCAACAAAGTTGTGCACATATACGCGCCGCACATGCGCACCTGGTGTCGTTGATGGGAAGTGGAGAAGCCGTGGTGTGTGCACGTGCGAGTGAGTGAGTGCGAGTGAGTGTGTGTGTGAGTGAGTGAGTGAGTGAGTGAGTGCGTGAGCGAGTGAGTGAGTGAGTGAGTGAGTGAGTGAGTGAGTGCCGTGGCGGCCTTCCTTCCAACACAGTCACAAGAGCACACTAGATGTTCGACGACCTGCACCATCACATAACTCCGACAGCAAACACGTGACAAGACAACACACAGGGCAGGTCAACATGGCCCTCCGTGCCACATCACATGGCCCTCCGTGCCACATCACATGACACCACCACATCATGTGACCACGCACGTTTGATGCGTCGAAGACAGGCAGCGAGTGTGTTGAGGTGCTGGCGCTCGTTCGCATTCAGCGCATTGTCTGCAAGCGGCAGTGGCGGCCATGAAAAACACCTGAACACAACACGTTTGGCGCAAGCAGGCGGGAGGGAGCGAGTGTTGTGTTGTGTTGTGAGTGAGCGAGTGAGCGAGTGAGTGAGGGTGAGGATATATATGTGTGTGTGTGTACGCGCTGTAACGTGCAAAGTGAGAGTGAAGAGCATGCGATAAAGTGTGTGAGCAAATTCCAGCACGCATGTTGCACATACGCGGTGTATCTCATCCGCCACCTTCACGCGTGCGCACCTGTCATTTGCATGGCCGTCTTCGCCCTTTGTTCGATCATGGAATCGGAAATTTCGTCCACCCAACTTCGCGTTGAGCTCTTGCAGGTACAGCGCTGTCTTTCCCATCTGCACATTGTCAGACAGGGGGGGGGGGGGTCGTGTCAGCTCACACGAGATGGAGATTGGTACAGGTGGGAAAGTGCAGTAAGAAACGAAGTACGCACACAGACACAAACAGACAGATACGCAGACACGCAGACACACACACACACACACTTACATACACACGCATATATACTTACACACACACACACACACACATACACACACCAGCTTGTGTCGGGGCCAGGTGGCGTCAAAGGGGAGCGGGAGAGCAAAGCATTCTTCGCTGGCCATAAATTCCTGCGAATCGCTCCACACGTTGACAGCGAGAGACCACGCGCTGTTAGAGCGCACGCGGTGCAGCCAATACGGGGGTAGGTACAGGAGGTCGCCCGGGTGGAGGGTCACGTGCATCATGTCGCGCGCATAGGCGGCCTCGACGTCACGCCACGCGTCCTGTGGAAAAAATGGGGGAGCGGGGAGGGGCACGTGTGTCAATAGGCAGGCCGGGGGGCGGGCGGACGGGAGCCATCGACGCACGAGGCACAGTCGGGGAGGTGAAAGCGCTACGCGGCAGGCAAACACGCGAACACACAAACATGGACAGACAAGTGGAGAGCTGTCTTCCTCGCACACAAATAATATTGCAGACAGACAGACAGACGGCTAGCCAGACACACAGAGAGACAGACACACAGACAAGCAGACAGACACACATACATACAGACAGACATACATACAGACATACATACAGACACACACACATGCACACACACAGACACACACACACAGACACACAGACAGACAGACAGACACACACACACACACAGGCGCAGTCATCTCACGGCAGCCTGGCGATAGAGCGGGTGCAAGCTGGAATGAAAGCGAACACGCGCATCAATGAAGGTGGGCGGGAGAATGGTGAACGTCTTGGTGCCTGCAAGCACTGCATAGACGTTGTGGCTGGTGTCGTAATGCAGGGCCGCCGTGGTGTTGCCGTTACCGATCCACACATTGATGTGAGCAGGGGCATCAGCATCCTCCCGCACGGCCAGCGTGCTCAAGTTTGCCACGTCTCGCAGCCGCTGTTTGTCAAGCATGACCTCAGCCGGGCCCGATGCGTACCGATACATGCCCTCGATGGTGTCCCACTTGCTGTCATCCAAGATGGTGGTCAGCCTGGCCAGAGATTCCTTGTACGCCTTTCGAGTCACTTTGCTCCCATACCGATTGCTATCCTCCAGCAGCATGGCTTCATTAAAGTACAGGAACTCTGACGATGATCCCTGGAACGACGACGGTATTGAGCAGAGACAATATCGGCGGAGACATCAATGCATGTGTGTGTACGTGTGTGTATGTGTGTGTATGTGTGCGCGAGAGAGAGGATGGTCGTGAAGCAAGAGAGCGCTTGTGGCAAGCAAGTCACGAAGGGAGAGAGAGAAGAGCAGACTACAATGCAGTTGAGAAGCACACCGTGGTGTCACAAAGCATCCCGCAGCCAGTGTGGCCAGCAGGCGTCACCGAATTCCGCCTAGTATCTCCACATACCTGGTATTTGACGGGAACCGCCTTTGACAACTTGGTTGCCAGAGACAGTAGTGTCCAGCCGAAGCAAGGCGCAACCTCGTGCAGTGGAACCCCCTCAATCACAACTGGCGCGTTCATGCCCTGAAGCTGTGCATGCGGAAATCAAAGGGGGATGGTGATGTCGGGAACAGAAGGTGACAAGTGGGCAGAAGTACACAGAGGTGAGCGCATCGGTGAAAGCATGTCACGCACACACACACACGAACATACAAAACACGGACACAAGCTATACATAAGCTGTGCACAAGCTGCACGGACACACACATCGACAGACAGACAGACAGACAGACAGACACAGACACAGACAGACAGACAGACACAGACACACAGATACACGAACAGAAATACAGAGTCATACCTGTTGAAAGATGTCTGGCTTGTAGGAGACGCGCAACTCGGACGCTGTGCCAGAGGTAAAGAACAAACCCACTACCCAAGCCACAAAGGTGACACCTAACAGCATCAACACTGACCTGAACGGTGTCATCATCATCTGCTGCTCACCGCCTTCGCCGTCGCCACAACCACGTCTGCCACCGCCACCGACAGGTCTGCCAGCCACTTCAAGTTCTGAACATTGTTGGAAATCATTCGCGAAAATTCAGCAACATAACGGAACGTGATGAGCAGCACACACAAGCACAAGTGGCGCATCCTGCGCGATGCCATCCTCAAGGCAGCGCAGGCAGCCAAGCAGCAGCAGGAACAACCGCAGGAACAAAGGGAGCCCCAGGAAGAAGAAGGTGCTGCTGTGGATGATGCCTCTGTACGGCGGTTTCAGTCGTATGGTCTCGTCACATCGCATCGCGTCGAACCTGGAACAATCAATCGTGCGTCGGTGTCGTGTGGTTGTCGCGTTGTGGCGACGTTGTTGTTGTGGCCTGTGAAGCTGCATGAAGTTGTGTGTGATGTGACATGACTGCTGTCTTGTTTGTGACCTGTGTTTGTAACCTTTGTCTTGGTTTTCCACAGTGAGCTGACCGGGAGGATGTTTTGTTTTGTCTTTTGTGTTTGTGTGTTGTGATGTGATGTGATGTGACATTTTTGTGTGGCAGGCATCGCGTTTAGTGGGAACGGCACAGTGCTTGCAGACAGTGCGGACCAGGATTCAGACGTGCTGTTGGGAACATGGCATCGGCACGACGCGCCTGGGTTTGACTCGTTTCAACCCCTCGTGTTTCACCTCAGGCCAGTCGTCACGCTACAAGACATGCTTGGCTTCAACAACACTGGCAACGTGTGCATTTGGCCCTCGGAGGAGGTGCTGGTGCACTGGATTCTCTCCCAACCTGGCGTGTTCAAAGGCTTGCGTGTGTGCGAGATTGGAGGCGGCATGGCTTCTCTTGCTGGGCTTGCTGTTGCCATCAACGAGCAGGTCAGTAAGTGGATGGAAGCAGGGCTGGTAACTGCAATGCAGCGCGAGGCATTGCTTTGGTTCGTCGCAACACACCTGCAAGCTGTGTGGTTCCACTAACTGCCGATTTGTTTGGCAGCACGAATGATTCACTTGCGCATCCAAGCATTTTTAATGTAATCACTTACACTTTCAAGCTCACGCGCGTGCCTGTTGACGCATGTCATGTGAATTCATCGCCTGGCAGGCGGAGGAAGTTGTGTTGACAGATGGAAACGAGAACAGCATGTCATGCATCCATGCCACGTTGGCTGCCAACCGCGGCGCCTTTACAACTGAAAATGTGACTGCCCAGCGCCTTGACTGGACACAGCCTGCGCACTATCAGCACTTGCAGCACAGGTGAACGTATTCTGTGGATTTGTGTGTGTGGGGTTGTTGATGTTGTTGATGATGTTGTTGTTGTTGTTGTTGTTGTTGTTGTTGATGTTGTTGTTGTTGTTTTTGTTGTTGTTGTTGCTGCTGCTGCTGCTGCTGTTGTTGTTGTTGTTGTTGTTGTTGTTGTTGTTGTTGTTGTTGTTGTTGTTGTTGTTGTTGTTGTTGTTGTTGTTGTTGTTGTTGTTGTTGTTGTTGTTGTTCATGCACGTGTTTCGTAGGAATGGATTGCTTCTTCTCGTATCAAACATCCGTCTCATCAACAACTCATATTAATAATAAACACCACAGGTTTGATGTTGTGCTGTGTGCAGATTGCTGTTTCTTCGACGAATTTAGACCGGCATTAGCAGAGGTGCATGTGTGTGTGGGTGTGTGAGGACGCACGGGTCCACGACTGTGCCCGCTTGAGCCTTGTGCAAGTGAATAGGTTCGTCTTGCTTGTTCTCATCGCCACTTTGTTTTGGATGTGAAGGTGCTCCAAACCATCACGCGACCGAGTGGGCATGTCCTACTCATTTGTCCCGAGCGAAGGGGAACACGATCCGCCTTCCTTCAGCTTGCATCAGGTGTGGCGACAGTGGCTTCATGTGTCTCGTCACATACAAGTGTGTGCTTTCACATACAAGTGTGTGCTTTCACATACAAGTGTTTGCACACATGTTCCCCCCCCCACACTCACTCACACACACACACATACACACACACACATACACACACACACACACTCACTCACTCTCTCTCTCTGTCTGTCTGTCTGTCTCTCTCCCTCTCTGTCTCTCTCTCCCTCTCTCTCTCCCTCGAACGTGCCCAGATCGGTTTCGTGTGGAGGAAATTCCGAGTTTCGATGCAGAACTCCAGCGACAACACGAACATGTACTTGCAAGCAACCCCAAGTATGAACCAGACATCCACTTCCCAAAAGCAGCCAAGCTCACCCCTCTCAAGTAGCATCTCAACTCTTGTCAAACCAGCCTCATATGCCTTGTTCTAGCTTGTGTATGTGTGTGTGTGTGTGTGCGTGTGCCTGTGTGTCTGTGTGTCTCTGCGTGTGAAGGCGCTGCGTCGCAAGCGTGTACAGTTTGCAAGTGCTGTGCGCTGTTGTTTTCGTTTATTTCCACGCACACACGCGTGACCTCCAGTCTTGTACACAAGCAAGCAGACGCCCCCTTTGCACACAAATACATAATCGACAAGCTGAAAAAGGCGACTTGCTTCCTTGCTCGCTGTTTTGCTGACTCAAAACAAGACAAGGGAGGAAGCAGGAATTGATGTGATGGCACCAGTTGCTGCAGCACTACCAACACTACTCTACACCACACGCTCACAACATGCAGAGCTGGAGTGTTGCGCGCAGCCTTGCTGCGTCCTCTCGCAGCAGTTGCATGGTGTTGTGCAGCGACTGCACATGTACGCGCGGTGATCGGGTTGTAGTTCTCGCTGGGGTTGTGGCAGGCGGTGCGGTGGGCAGAGCCGTCACAGTGACGTGCATCGGTTGATGTATCCTGCTGTGTCGCATGCGCACTGTGTCGTTGGTCTGGCCACACGCTTCGGTGTCTCCAAACGCGTGTCGCCCATCCTTCTCACCAACACCTGCACACGTGATGCTGTGCCTGCTGTCATCGCTGCTGGCCACGCTGCCGTCGAGCTGTTCGTGGCAGCGACAACGACGACGACTGCTATCATCATCCCTCTCACACGGTTCATCACCTAATCTCTCACCCTCGCCACCACGATCAATCTCACCATTGCCACCATTACCACCACCGCAATCATCTTCATCACCACATCCACCTTCACCACCCTCCCTGCCGTCCACACCACCACCACCACCACTACCAGCCATATCCAGCTGCCGCTGCTGCCGTAGAATGATCTGTCGCTGTACCTGCAATGCCATCCGCAGCTCGGCAATGGTCCGTGTCGACATCTGCAGCGCCTCCAACACGGGCTCCATGCTCTCGCTCACACCGCCAGCACCAACAGCACGTTCGTCGCCACCGCATCGTCCACCACAACAAACATCATCGTTCTCGGCACAACCGTGACCGTGAGCGCGCTGGCCACGGTTTGGTCCGCGCCGCTCGGCGCTGGTGCACAGCGATGACAACGACGATGACGATGAACTTGACGATGGCGGTGGTGTTGGCGGCAACGATGCTGCTGACACGATGCATGGTGGGGAGGAGAGAAGTGCGGAAGTATTTGGTGATGATCTTGCACTGGATGGCGCTGGGGTGGGTGGAAGATTGTCTGCGAGCAACACCTGCTGCTCCTTCTTTTCAAATGAAGCAGACGCATGCTGTGGGTGCGGATGCAGCGAAGGGTGGCTGCTCATGCTGCGTTCATCCTCATGTTGCACACTGCCGTATCGTGTGCCGTGTGTGTCATGCGTGCGCGTGCGTCGTTTCTCCATTGCACGCAATTTGGTCACGAGTTTCAACAAGTCTGCGTTCTCCGCTGCCAGCCGCTGCCGTTCTGCGTTGCATGTCTCAAACATGGTCCTCCAAAACACAGCGTCTGTGTCTTCCTGCGACAGAGCTTCGCGCCTGCTGGCAGGCATGGGTGATGGTGGTGGTGAAGAACGCTGCGCACTGACAGGCAGTCGAAACAGCGGAGGAGAAGTGTGCGGTGTTGCTGTTGGTGGTGATGCTGGTAGTGGTGTTGGTTCTGATACAAGAGCTGTTGCAGCTTCCAGCGAGGCTGTGCCGTGTGATGCTTGGCTCAATGGGACAGGCTGAGGTGAGATGGAGTGCTGGCGGGAGGTATGCTGTGGGTCGGGCCACATCTTGAGCAGCTTCTGCGTGGATCTGCTGCTCTCACGGAGACACGCGGTGACGAAGGTCAGCTTGTTGCAAGTGAGTTGCTTCGTCAACTCGAATACGTCGTGTGGCACCATGCCGATCAGGTCTTGCCCATTCATTGTCAGCAGCACTTCTCCTGCATCGAACATTGCCGAAGCAGAGACATGGAATGTACATGTGAGCGTTGTGGACTACTTTGCATCACACTCTTGATTCAAGAACACGAGCACTGCAAGCACGGTATCATTGAGCGTGGCGAAGGTGCAGCTACAGCGTAAAGTGCGCAAGTTCCAAAAATCGTGCAGTCACACACATCACAATGTCACAATCGATCGACGCATGCACCCCAGGAGACGTATGCTCTCTGGTACAAACCAACCTTGTTCGAAGCCAGCAGATGAAGCCAGCGTGCATCGGCGACAGCGCACAACTTCCACCACCAGATCTTGCAGCGCTGGCACAAAGGCAGATGCCAGCACCAACCCCTGTTGTATGTGTGCGCAAATGTGTGTGTGTGTGTGTGCGTGTCGAGGGCAGGGTTGGAAGTGAGAATGTGAAGCAAAGCACGATACCCCGCTCGTACGAGCATGCGTTTGCACTCTCGTAGCGCCATACTCCCCCCTGCCCCAGGTCAAACGATCACAGTGGTGCGTACGATGGCGTCGTTGTGCTGGTGCTTCACGACGCTGCGAATCTGGAAGCCAGAGAACCCAGCGTGTTCCCATGCCGTCAGCTTGTCCTCGGGAACGCTTGCCAGTGCCACAGCGCTTGTTGCTCTCAGTGGTGTCAGGCACGCCTTCATCGACGGTGAAGGACGCGACGCCGGCGTTCGAGGCGGCGTCCGCATCACTTTTGCCAGCATTCCCCCTGCTTGGTGCACTGCTTCCTCATCGCCGCTGCCGCCTTTCGCTGTCATCATCATTGCTGGTTGGTCCTGCCACCAAAATTTCAAATTGCAGAATAGCTTGCATATCTTCACCTACATTTCTACAACCGCACCAGCGCTGATGAAGAGGATGAAAAGATGACTTTGCGTTGGCCTCCTGCTTCATCGTCGTTGTCGCCGCCTTCGCGGCGGGTTGTGCTTGGCTCTGAGGAGCAGTGGCAGCCCAGGGCGACAACAGCAGCACCGCCTTCCAGTGAAGATGAGGTGATGTGCGTTGGGTGGAATGCGGTGGTATCTCGTTCCTGGTTGGAGCAGGAACTGCAGCGCGGAGTGAGTCCAGTCCTGAAGGCTCGCAGACAAGAAGAAGCATTTATTGAAGAGGCTGTCAACGATGAGGACGAGGATGAAGAAGTCCAAGCGGGCATGCTGCTCCAGCAAGCCGCGTGCAGCTGGTCCTGTGTTTGTGCATTGACCACGAAAGCAATATTGAAACACAGGCCCCAGCAGGAAACGATCAGTGGTCCTGATACGGGAGCAGGCCGTACGTACGAAAACCAAGGGCGCTTGCACTTGACTGTGCTTCGGCCGGGCAAATCACCGCATGCGCCTGCAGCAGTGCTGACTCACAGCCCGCTTCCAACGTATGGTGCGTACGGGTTCTACAATGCTCCCGTTCTGTGTGTCAGCGGTTCCGTGGCTTTGTGGGGTTGAGAGTTTTGCAGTTCTGTGCATCAGCAGCTGTGCGGTTGCGGTATGTGTGTGTGTGTGTGCGCGCGTGCTTGCGTGTGTGTGTGTGTGTGTGTGTGTGTGTGTGTGTGTGTGTGTGTGTGTGTGTGTGTGTGTGTGTGTGTGTGGAGTTGAAGTTTTGTGCACATAAGTGCCACTTGATGTGGCTCGGAAAAGGCATGTGTCTCCTCCAGTCCTGTTGACGTCTCTCAAACCATGCCTCTTGCTCATGTTTGGTTGGCGATGCTGCAGAGCAGCAAGTGCGGCTGTGCTGCCAGAGCGAGCGCATCGTGGTCGCGGCTGTTGAAGACGAACGCAGCAGCAGACACCAGCAGGGCGAAGTAGGAGCAGACGTCCTGTTTGAGGCCGCAATAGCCGCAGAGCAAACAACAAGCACAAGACCCACAGTCACAGGGCAAGCAGAGCAACGAAGTGAAGCGGGTATGCTCGCCTGGATTCCAGTTCCCTTTCCACGCTTTCGCAAGATCAAGCAGCTGGCTTGTGGCAAAACACACAGCATGGTGCTGGACACGCACGGCGATGTCTGGGCATGGGGACGCGGCGGTTTTGGCCAGCTTGGCCACGGCTCCATCCACGACGAGCCAACTCCAAGGTCTGTGTGTGTACGTGTGTGTGTACGTGTGTATGTATGTATGTGTGTGTGTGTGTGTGTGTGTGTGTTGTGTGTGTATGTGTGTGTGTCGTGTATGTGTGTGTGTGTGTGCCTGTGCGTGTGAGCATGTACCCCTCAGTATGCAACCTGCAACTGCTCAATCCCATTCGGGTCCCTCACTGCGCTGACCTCCAGGCCAGTGGAGGCGCTGCAAGGCATGTGCATGTCCATGATTGCTGCCGGTGGGTGGCACTCGCTCGTTCTCTCATCTTCAGGGGATGTCTACTCATTTGGCTGGAACAACCACCACCAGCTCGGTCCGTTTGGTGCTGTGTTCATTGTGGCCATTGCATTGTGTTCATCGTGTGCATGTGTGTGCGCATGTATATGCGTGTGTATGCGCGTGTGTAGGTGTGTACACGTCGACTGCGTTGACGTTTAGCGTTTATCTTATATGTTACCGCGCCTGCAACTGCTCGTATCTACTGCGCATGACAATTAACATCTCTGAACCATGCAGGCCGGGACACGACGGACACACCGCCTGCAGTGCCAGGGCTGATTGAGCTGGAAGAAAGCAGTGACAGCACGGCTGACAACGAACAAACTCATTCTCTCCGACATGGCGAGGACGGTGCGTGAGTTTCTGTTCGTTCTGAGTCGTGTTTTATGTTGGCTTGCGCTGCATTGCACTGTTTATGTATGGCACAGTGAATGTGTTGTGAGATCCGTGTATTTGCATGGCTTATGGTAGCTTGTGCTTCACCGATATCAATCTTGCTGACACTCTCTTCTCTCCCTCACCGGTCGTGCGATGGCAGTTGTTTCTGTTGCATGTGGATCTGCTCACAGCTACGCCGTCACATCTGTCGGGCAGGTGTTTGGCTGGGGCTGGGGTGAGTAAGCTGCCATGTTTGTATGTGTGCATGTACGTGTGCGCGTGTACGTGTGCGCGTGTACGTGTGTGCACTTGTGTGCGTGTACGTGTGTGCACGTGTATGTAAGTGTGCGTGTGTGTGCGTGTGTGTAAGAGTTGTGTAAGTGTGTATGATTGCGCTGAATAACCGTGCCTGACTGATTGATAAAACCTCTGCCGCGCTGCTGCTTTTGTTTCACAGCTGAGCATGGGCAGTTTGGCCCAAACACAAAGGAGAGTCATGTGATCAAACCAACCGTCATTCCCTTCCTTCAACAACACACTGTACGTGTCTCCCACCACGTACGCTTGCTGCAGTTCATGCTTGTGCGTTCGTGGGTGTGTGGGTGTTTTCGTGCGCGACTGATGGTTTCTTGCTACGATACGCACACAGAGGCACACACACACGCGCGCACACACGCACACACACACAGACACACACAGACACACACTTACTCAAACGCACACACACTTACTCAAACGCACACACAATCACATGTGCACGCTACAATGTCAGGTTCGCTGTATTCTGTCTCAGCATTCAAGCTGGGGAGGTGTTTGTCTCCTTGCCAAAGAATGAAACCATGCCGTCAGCACAGACACCGGCGAACATGCACCCGCTATGGTTATGTAGTCCTTCTTCCTCCTCCGCCCCCACTCCCCTTTGTTTCTTCGCTACACGTATCTTGTTTACTTTACAACTGAGAAGAACAAAGCAAAGTGGTTGGCGAGTCAAGGTATGGTCGCTGCCACCATTTCGCGTACGTACACGACTGGCCAATCAAGTAACGTTGCCAACAACAAACACAAGAGTGGCAAGCTTTGCTTGGTAAACGAACAGAAACCCTTTTGCTCCACAAACCCACACACACACACACACACACACACACACACACACACTCTCTCTCTCTCTCTCTCTCTCTCTCTCTCTCGGTCTCACACACACACACAATCCCTCTCTCTCTCGGTCTCTCAGCATCTTCTTTGAGCTTCTGCCTCACACACACACGTGTACACACACACACACACACACACACATACATCTCACATGTCTGCACTGGTGACCTCCAGTGAGGCGTTGGCCAGCACGAGCGACACTTCATCCTCCGGGTTGCACGCCACGTGCGCTGCCGCAACCACCAGCCGATGCCGCCCGCTTTCGCACAGGATCGGGATGGCAAGCGTGTGTGCCGGCTGCTGGTTTCCGGAGCTGTCGCGCAGCATCACGGGCTGTGCATCCCACACCATCTCAGGCCCGCCGTCGCTCGTGAACGACTGCGCAGACGCCGACGGCCCCAAGCTGGCCCCATCACCACCACCACCACTCGATACATCACCACCTGGCACAGCTGCGGTGTGATCGCTCCTGGTGCTGGTGCCTTCGTCCTCGTCATCTTCATCTTCATCAATGACGATAACAGTTGGATGCGCGGGCTTTGCTGGGTCCTCCACGCACCGCACGAGCAGCCGGACCGGTGTTCCGGGCTCTTCGCTGCCCTCCGCCGCCTGCAGCACCTGGTCAGCTCCAACCACACCTGCAGCATCAAGCTCAAGACCTGTAAACGTAAACGCACAGGGCGAAGGGGGTGTTGTGTTTGAGAGAAGCAGCAGCAATGACAAGAGAACAGTGAGTTGGTGGGCAGGCACACGACAAAGGCCAAATACAACGTTGAAGCGCGCACAGAGAGAGAGAGAGAG